CATTTTCGTGGAAAGCAGTTACCACTTGAAATTACAAATTGGTCAAATAATATAACCGCCAGAAATTTTCTTTGCTGCAAAATTTGATAAAAATATGCGATAACATTGGGTTGCAAATAGGAAAATTACAAAAAACTAAATTAGAAATGTATGTACTATTGGAACATAGTACATTTGTATATGATTATTTTTCAAATATTGAAAAATATAACAAATTGTAAGCAATTTCTATTTTAATTTATGACACGGCAATCAGCGGAGACCCAATGTTACTGTAAACAAAAGTGATGTGATCACCCACCTTGATATTTAGATTTTTGGCTATCATGGAAAAGGTTCATGTTATAGAAATATAAATAATGTAACTTCTAAATCCTAAAAATCTGTTGGTATACATATACATTGTTTTAATATATGCTTGTTTGTTGTTCTTTTTTTCTTCTCGGAGACTTGTATCACAGAAATATAGCTCTATGTTTTTTGTATATTGATGTAATTAAGTAAGTATAATTAATGGACCCCAGTGGAAAACATGGGTTTTCATTGGCAATACTTGATTTAACAAAGTGTTCATTTGCCTGTGTCATTTCAAGTTATTAATATGTAGTTGCATATTGTTTTACGAAATAATGTGATTATGGATTGTGATATATTTACATTGTTAAATTTCTACTTTTGAGAGAGGTAGTCTACTTCTTTCAAATCAAATAATTGGTCAGGATAGTCTACTTTTATGGTTTTCTTGTGTTTGTTTCCTCTGAAGGTCAAATTGTACTGTAAACTGTTTTATGTCAGCTTTTACGAACCTTGTGCAGCAATATCTCACACCTGAATTTGAAATACCTTATTTGATTGAAAAAAATATCATTATGTGTTTTAAATCCGAATAAAAGCAATCAATCAATCAATTAATCAATCATTGATTCAATCAGTCAGTCAGGTCAGTCGTCTTCGTCTGTACTACCATTACAAGGGGGACAACTGCATAGCAGTTTTGATCTCACGAAAGCAGTTAGTTCTCCTGATTTTTGCGGAGACGCCGACATGACCGGCGCGATCAAACCTGCACTCGATCCATTTACAATATAAGATATTTTTTTATTATCGAGTTCATCGAAGCTGAGTAATGTTGGACACCCTATTCATTGTACATTTGAAATTTTATATCGTAACGGAATTTTACTGGCTAAAACTTCCTTCAAATTTCTTTACCATTTGTACTAGTTATTGATCTTTTAATAAGTACAATAAAGGATTTCACATTTCCCCTTAATATTGCAAATTATAATTTAATTAAATGCATTTCTCCATAATAACAGGAATGATATGTCACATGCACCAATACTTGACCAATACTAGATAATACCTTGAATTAATATAATTATGATGATCGTGGCGGTGATGATGATGATGATGATGATGATGTGAAATTGTAGTATGAGTTTTTAACGTCTCTGGAGTAATGTTCAACACAAAACTTGAGTATGAACTGGAAATTATTCAACAACGAAATATTAATATACAGTGCACAGATACTGTATACAGATTTGTGTCGGAAGTTTAAGTCAGTGTTACCAAGTTGCTATTGACCAAATCAATAATAAATACCCGATCGAGTGTTGCTTTACTGATTTATTTATGCGTAACAAATGCAAAAGTTAGTGTAGTAATGAACTTCATATGAAAAATCGATTTACAAATAATGTAAATATAGAATAAGTTGGAATAAGCGATTTTGAAATCTATCGAGTTCTACAGTGTAGACTTTTATAAATCGTATTTGTTGAATTACACCGAACTTTTATTTGGATTAACGCATTTGTTTTTAAGTCAGGTAATATTTTTGTTTTTATTTTCAAATCTTTAATTGTGTCATTTCATTTAGCTTGCATTCTTTCGTATTTTTTACATGTATTTTGTTAATACTTTATTTCGATTCAAAAACGCTTCACCGATTACGTTTCGGTGAAAGTAATTTCTATAGAAAATGACGTTTTTAAAAGCGTTTTGTCTCGAGCATATGAATTTGAACCTTATGCTACTCTTAAAACAACCTCGATATCGTTTCCTGTGAAGGTCTTCACTGGTGTCATATGAGTGTGGTGTGGGACCAATTATATAAGGATTGTTGGCTGCGTGGGTTCAAACCCCGTCAGGGGCAAGTAATGGTTTCCGTGAGCAATAGACTATACACTCATTGCTTAGTACTGGATGGTTCAAGGACCGAATTCGAGAGTCTTTCAATAATCTTATAGCTACAGACACAAACTAAAGTAAATAATTATGTATAAACTAACATAGTCATGCTCTCACAAGTGATTGAACCAATCATACCTGAGCTGAGAAGCAGGTACCATAACCACTAAGCCTATGTGTCCTTCTTAGCATTAATTTTAAATATGCTCGACGGTATATTGCACTGCATGGTAAGCGGTAATGAAAATATACGTTACAAATAAAGTTACATAAGAATGAATATAATACCCATTAAAATGACAACAACACAACCACCAACACCACCAACAAGTATTTTAAACATGCCCTCTCAGCTGTACACACTACATTGTACTTGGCCACTTGTTAATTAAAATTGTTTTAATTGTTTAAGGTCGGTCTTATATACTGTAAATGATATCTTATGATGCGAAAATATCATCGCAGATGATGTAAATATTTACAAGGACGTCAATTTCGGATAATTCTGTCACCACCATTTCACTATACATGTAGTTAGCAAAAAGACATGTTTTGAGGATTCATAAAGGTATAGCTAACTTTTTTCAATGTCCAAAGATTGATCTTTGCAGACATTTTCAGACTGTTGTATTTGTAATTTAGCACCATTTCATTTTATTATAATGTTTGATATCAAATGTTCTACTATTTCATATCACATTGTATATGTTCGCACTTACGCATGCACACACGCATATACACGCACGCACAAAACATCAAAATAATTGACGGAATATTCAATATAACCATCTCACCTGTCCTGATCTCAAATATACATGTTTTTGTCTGTTAAACAAACGAAACAATAAGTTGAATTTGATTCAAAAGAATGACATTGTTGATTAACTTTCAATAGGCTATATTGTGTAAAAGAAAACAAAACGAACCTATTCAAAATAAAGAATTTGAACATAGTTCTTTTGTTAAAACGATAAGTTTAAGGTTTTCCGGGATCATGAGAGAAGTCACCCTTAAAACACTAACGAAACTTTGAGAACGCCAATTTTGTACAAAGTAATATACATAATTATGTAGCATGTCTTAATTATTAGATGACAATAGCGGCAAGCTTAAAGTGACATATTTATGCCCATACAATTTCAGAATAACTTCACATTTTGCCATATTTGTGTTCAATTTTATATTTTACTTTGAAATAATAATAATAATAATAATAATAATAATAATGATAAAGAAATCAATAATGCAAGTGGCAAACGGAAATTTCAATAAATAACGTTCAGAATGTATATCGGTTAATTTTAGATTTCATAACCTAACACATTTATTATCTTTGAATCCCGAGGAGTATGAAAATATCCATATTACGTTATAGTAAAAAAGTATAATTCTGTCAATGTATTATTTAAAACAATAAAGTGATGAACAGAGGTTTCAGTATTTTATAATAAGTTGCACTACTGTTGTTGCATTACAAGATTGTTTCTCTCCTTTAATTTTGTTGATATTATTGTGATAAATATTTACTATTTTCTCCTCTTTTTTTTTGAAAGGCATATACTTTTAACGAATACATAGAGTAATATAACAGAGGTGAAGGTGTCACTAAAGGACCGTTAAGGCTGTCGTATATTCAACATTTTCGCCCAACATGCCGCTAGGTGTCACGTGTTCTAGGTGGATTCAGTAACACATCCGCCTCTTACATCTCAAAACAAACTTGTCCACGACACACTATCAGAAACAAATGTAGTCCTACTAAACCAATACATCCAATCTGTGTTTTGTAGTAAGTCACCTGTAAATATTGCCTTATATTGTAAAATGAAACTCCATGACATGCTTGGTAAAAATCACATGACATCACCTGAAGTCAACAATGAACAACATCAAAGAATGACCAACATCTCAATGAGTGCCAATGGCATAGAAAACTTTGTTTTTGGGGTGAATATATCATATGGTCTTTTCTGTGTCGTGCACATGTATTTATAAACAGGTCAACCGAAATGGCAAATCGAACTCCCTTGGTTGCTTAGGTGGTAATATAGAAATAAACCAAGAACCCATTAATATCAAGGCATAAACCCCTTGTCCCCCACGTTTGACTACAAAGTACATCTGCACGTCGGGTGACGTATCAACTGTTACACAGAAGCTCTATATGTCCCATATAAGTGTCACCTACTAAATCTTTGTCATATTGACTTTGAGCTCTATATGATGTACAAACCCAAGATATACCATCAATAATTCTTAACCATAGGTTGATTTCCAGGCAACTACACATTTTCATTTTTTTGTAAACAGTTTTCCACTGAAACAGCCTATTACCATTTTAAAGTCAATTATATATATACCCTTCAAATATATTACTTTTATATATATTTTTATATATATTGTATATATATTTTTTAATGTACCTGATTAACCCGAAAATGCCCTTTTACAGCTTTTTAATTTTGGTGTCCCAGTACAGTTTTCAATAATGGTACTTATTTATCATAAAGCTGAGTCGTCATTTTGACTGCTACAGGTTGTAGCAGTACATTGTAAGTATTCATTTCGGTGGTATGATATGCAGACCACACCATTAAGCAGTGCAGTACAAACTGCCAGATTGGTAATTGCAAACCAGGGCTACTCTATACATTTTCCTTTGTTTATTATTATAATTGTATATAATATTTTTTATTGATCTTTTATTTCACTTTTTATCCTTTCTTAGTGGCTAAACTTACATGCACTAGAGTGACCATGATGATAAAAACTCTATTCGTAAAAAATAATGTTGCTAGGAAACGCAAAAGGCGTCGCACCTGTTTTATTTACAGTAAAATTGTTATCATTAGAAATATTTTACTTATATTTGACACCAAGACAGATTAATTGCATTCACATAAGGAATGTGTTGATAATTATTAGTGAACTTTATATTATTTATTGATTTACGTTCATCATTGTAAGTTTTTTTTATTTTGTTGTAAATTATGTTTTGTACCCATATTCATTCGTACCCAAGTGAAATATTGATATCTGATTGAGAATTAACGCCGTGAAAATAATGAAGGTCTGTCTTCAGTTTTTTGTAGATCTATAAAGAAAGAAGTACTGTTTAACATAATACATTCAAGTTAGTTGTGACTTAAGTAAAACAACAATTGAGATTGACAATAGCATGTTTACAAATTGTTTTCATCTGATTTATTATTTGTCCATTGATGGCATTATTACTATTGTTAAAATGGTGATAACTATTGCAGTTGGTCTAGTAATGTATGCCTTAAATTAAATTATGCCTTATTCTCATCAATTTTTGTGACTTCCCTTCAATTCATGAATAAATTATAAAAATATACTAAATAAGTCATCCAAAAACCTGACATTTTAGTTTTAGCCAACAGTCCCATAAATTTTATTTTATCCAATCAACTTGAATCTACAGCTGTAAAGGGGCATGTAGTTTGAAGGCACTAGGCCATGTAGGATTGCCAAATACTGAAAAAAATTTAACATTCCATGAAAAACGTGTCATACAAACTGTACCAAAAACTAGTTGAGCGGCTTATTTATAATAACCGCGGATGAATACAAAAAATCAGTCAAGCAAATCAAAACAAGTCACTGATTTTAAAAGGGAGACAATAAGCCAGGTAACAGACCTAATAATAAAAAGCCCCTGTCAATATCGATAATTAAAAGATTTTATGTTTTACAAAAAATACTTCACAATATACATGTACTTCTTCTTAGAAACTACAATACTAAGATTAGATTGGATTTTTCATTATTTGTTATGTATCATAGCTTAGTGGACCTTTACAAGTATACTGTTAGTTATATAATTTAGGTGCATACATGTTATTAAGGACCATGCAACAGGGTGGACTTATACCAAGATGGACCGTTGATCAGGACATGGCAGAACGTATTTTAGACCCCAGGGTTCAAAACTGGCCAGTCCTGGACGTCACTAAGTTTATTCTTATAGACTTGTATAGGGAAAATCATAAAGTGGTCTTTTCTGAATCTACAATGCCTGGAGAGCTTCAATATTTCCCATTAAGCACAATGCCTCTACAAATATTTATTTTTTAAATGCTGGCTGGGAAAAAAAGGATAAATCAAATGTGACCTCATTACTGACTTGAACATTTGAATTGCTACCTTTTATAGAAATGTATCTCTGGTCTAAGAGATCCATCATGGTCCTCTTGTGATGTTTATTGAAATGCTGTTTTGTCCATGACTAACTTAGAAAGCCCTTGTATAATGTTATATACATGTAGTAAAAAAAGCCCTTGTAAAGCATGACCAAACTTTTAAAAGTAACTTGTTCTGTATGCACAAAAACAGTTATAATGTCAGTTGCTGTGAATATAAATGTATAAATACAAACAGTTGATTGAAACACATTCTTGTATCAGTCAGGTCAGAGTCAGAGTGTTGTATTCCAGTTTATTTTTAATGGTGACACATTTTGGAAGAAATCAAGGTTGTAATAATTATTATTTTTGCTTGGAGGTTTATTTATTTCCATAATCACACTTTTAATTCCTATAACTGTCATCTTTGTTTTGCTTATGTTAGTCACAAAGTGACCTGACATCACAGGAATGGTACTTAGATTGCAGTCTCTACAAAATGTTAAAATTGGTTCCAGTCAATTGCACATGTAGGTCATGGAAGCTAACAATGAAAAATGACATCTTTAAAAGTTCTTTTCTTACCCAGACCTTAGATATTTGGCATATTAAGACGGATAAAAACAACGTCAGATAGATTTTTTTACAACTGTGACTAGGAAATGTTTTATAAATCAACCAGTTGTGAGCAAAAATAGTGCACCCAATGTGAATTAATTGCTTTTCTGTGGAAGAATTTTGACATTTCCTAGCAATAAATCTAAAGTGAGTGGTCTAGGGCCATCTTTACTTTCTTAAGGGCAATCTATATACAATTGCGTGAATGTATCTTTGTTAAGCAAAAAGAAAAATTCTCTGAATAATAAGTTTTTATAGACATTATCTTTACATGTTTATTCTGTTCTATTTTCAGGATTGTTCAAGACAGGCAATTAAAAAGAAAGCAAAATGTCTGGGGTAAATATTTTGTATTGTTACATTTTTAAAGTCTTTTAAGGCAAAAACAAATATTAAACATTTTTTAAATATAGGAAAATGATGTATTTTATCATATATATTTTTTAAGACTAAGCATTTACCGATTAGTAAATTAGATGAAAATGTGTTTGAGTGCTAAGTACATTATTTTGTGAATGTATTAATTTTAATCAAAAAAACATTTATCATCAGGTTAAGTAGAAAGTTTGCCACTGATACAATGTCAGGCCAGGTGTAGCCTTACAAAGTAACAACACATTGTAACATAAATTAAATCATTGTATTTTATTATAAGTTTTTTTTAACAAATTGATTTTTTTAAATTATTTGAAAGATTTTGTAATATTGAGCCTTAAACTTTTTGTTATTTTATGTGAGCTAGCATGACTTTCTAAAGATTTTTGTTCTACATTTTGTTATAGGAAGGAAAGGTATGAAATTTGGAAAACAATGTTGTTTAAATTGTATATCACCTTATATTTGCATGTTTGTCTCACTGTATAGTTTTCTACAGTAAGTCTGGATTGTCTCCCTGTAAGATTGTTTTACAGTAAGTGGGGATTGTCTCCCTGTAAGATTGTTTTACAGTAAGTGGGATTGTCTCCCTGTAAGATTGCTTTACAGTAAGTCTGGATTGTCTCCCTGTAAGATTGTTTTACTGTAAGTGGGGATTGTCTCCCTGTAAGATTGTTAACCTCTAAGATTGTTTACAGTAAGTGGGGATTGTCTCCCTGTAAGATTGTTTTACTGTAAGTGGGGATTGTCTCCCTGTAAGATTGTTTACCTCTAAGATTGTTTACAGTAAGTGGGATTGTCTCCCTGTAAGATTGCTTTACAGAAAGTCTGGATTGTTTCCCTGTAAGATTGTTTAACAATAAGTGGGGATTGTCTCCCTGTAAGATTGTTTTACAGTTAGTCAGGATTGTTTCCCTGTAAGATTGTTTAACAGTAAGTGGGGATTGTCTCCCTGTAGGATTGTTTGACTGTAAGTGGGGATTGTCTCCCTGTAAGATTGTTTTACTGTAAGTGGGGATGTCTCCCTGTAAGATTGTTTAACAGTAAGTGGGGATTGTCTCCCTGTAGGATTGTTTGACTGTAAGTGGGGATTGTCTCCCTGTAAGATTGTTTTACAGTAAGTGGGGATGTCTCCCTGTAAGATTGCTTTACAGTAAGTGGGGAATGTCTCCCTGTAAGATTGCTTTACAGAAAGTCTGGATTGTCTCCCTGTAAGATTGTTTTACTTTAAGTGGGGATTGTCTCCCTATAAGATTGTTTTACAGTAAGTTGGGATTGTCTCCCTGTAAGATTGTTTAACAGTAAGTGGGGATTGTCTCCCTGTAAGATTGTTTTACTGTAAGTGGGGATTGTCTCCTGTAAGATTGTTTTACAGTAAGTGGGGATGTCTCCCTGTAAGATTGCTTTACAGTAAGTGGGGATTGTCTCCCTGTAAGATTGTTTTACAGTAAGTGGGGATGTCTCCCTGTATGATTGCTTTACAGTAAGTGGGGATTGTCTCCCTGTAAGATTGTTTTACAGTAAGTGGGGATTGTCTCCCTGTAAGATTGCTTTACAGTTAGTCAGGATTGTCTCCCTGTAAGATTACTTTACAGTAAATCTTGAATGTCTCCCTGTAAGATTGTTTTAGTGTAAGTTGGGATTGTCTCCCTGTAAGATTGTTTAACGGTAAGTGGAGATTGTCTCCCTGTAAGATTGTTTTACTGTAATTTGGGAATGTCTCATATTGAAAGATTTTTTTACAGTAAGTTTGGATTGTCTCCCTGTAAGATTGTTTTACAGTAAGTGGGGATTGTCTCCCTGTAAGATTGTTTTACAGTGAGTGGGGATTGTCTCCCTGTAAGATTGCTTTACAGTAAATCTTGAATGTCTCCCTGTAAGATTGTTTTAGTGTAAGTTTGGATTGTCTCCCTGTAAGATTGTTTTACAGTAAGTTGAGATTGTTTCTCTGTAAGATTGTTTTACAGTAAGTGGGGATTGTCTCCCTGTAAGACTGTTTTAGTTGGGATTGTCTCCCTGTAAGATTGTTTTTCAGTAAGTTGGGATTGTCTCCCTGTAAGATTGTTTTACAGTAAGTTGTGTCACTGTAAAATTTGTTATGCAGTAATTTGGGAAAAAACACACATGATCTGCATATCTTTACTGCACATTTGAAAGAAGGGTCTTCTTTTCTTTTTGGTTATGGTTACTGACTTTGAATTACTTCATCCTTTCACTGAATATAAACTAATGGTGTAACAATTAGTGGACACATTGATTTATCTTGACCTATACAGTTCACATAGCAATCAGTTCCATAACTATCAGCAATAGTCTGCCTACAGTCTATATAGTTTAGACTGTTTAAAATTTGTGGTCAGCTGAAAGTTGCCCTCAAAATTTGTTAACAAAGGCAGCATGAGAGGTTTAAATGGGTCCTATCAGGGGGCAATGTCACAGAAACATACAGAGTTCTAAGGTCAGATACAAAAAAGGTAAATGTGTGTATTGATCATGACTATTTAGTTGTCATGAATTGAGAAATTTTAATATAAATACTATAAATAACTATGAAACTCAGAATTTGTGAGTTGTATTTTGTGACATTGGCACTCTTTTTTTACTGTAATTAAATGTAATGAATATTTTCCATTTGTAATTTTGTGCATTTTCTATTTAAATAATGACTCAACAGGCTCATGCATATTATTGTCTCCCTCTATTTGTCGTATTTGATGTTGTCTTATTTTATTGCTAGACATTGTTTCATTGAAATTAAATGATTTAACAATAATAAAGAATTGACCAAACACAGTTCATGTTATATCCTGTAAAACTTGAGTTCTGACTCAAGTTCCAGAATTTTTTTATTGGTTAGTATACATTCTATGCCAGTTTCTGACCAATCAAATACCTGAGATCTGAGTTTAAACTTAAAAAATATTTTTATAACCTTTGGACCCTGGATGATTGAATTCAGTCAATGAAATTGAGTAAAAAACAAAACAAAAAAGCCAACTTTTAGCAGCTCAACAGAAGAATCTTATGCATCTCATAATATACATGTTAGACTGATTAAATTTGATATTACATACTTAAAGACAGAATATAATTGATTAATTAGCCATTAGCCAATAGAAAACAGTATAACAAATATGCAAAATAGATTTAATCAATCAGAATAGGTGTAACATTTCTAAATTTCATTTAAGGTTGACAAAGAACAGTTAATGAGATACATAGAGTTGGAGAAACAAATCCAGAATTTAGAGACTCAAAATGCACTTAAGAACTATGAGGTAAAGAAGAAAGCTGCAGAAGATGTTGCTCTGACAATTCAGGAGGTGGAGAATACCTTGAAGCAACTGAATATTCAAACGTATGTATTGTATGCTTTGTCTGCCTGTTGGTTTTTGCTTTGGATTTGTATTTTGATTTTCTAGCATCTGTAAGCTATCCAGTCAATGGAAAGTTATGGGACATTAACCAAGGTAAGCTAATCAAGTCAATGAAAGGTTTTGGAACATACCAAGGTAAGCTATTAAGTCGACAGTCAATGGAAGGTTGCGGGACATACCATTGGGTTTCTGTACATGCTTCAAGTATTGAGAGGAAGGGTTTTCAGTGGCATTGCTGTGGCAATATAATGCTGGTGTTATGAACAGACCTGAACTACACAGATGCCACTGATAAAACCACTGTCGTTTAGTTTATTTGAAATAATACTACATTTTCTACTTAAATTATATAAATAGTTTATATGTTAACCTAGTGCCACTGTCATAAAGAAGACCATATTTCATTTACCCCCCTGGCTAGAACATGTGTTTAAGTTGACAGTTATTTATAAAATAATGTTATCTTTGCCACTCACTGTTGCTATTGAATAGTTAAATTTATGTTAATATGTTAAAGCTGCATAATTGCAGCCTCTACTGGTCAGGGACCATCAACTGGACACTTTTTTAGCTCACCTGTCACAAAGTGACAGGGTGAGCTTTTGTGATCGCTTTTCGTCCGGCGTCCGTCCGTCCGTCATCCGTCCGTCGTCCGTCCGTCCGTAAACTTTTGCTTTAAATGACATCTCCTCATAAACCACTGAGCCAATTTCATCCAAACTTCACAGGAATGTTTCTTTGGTGGTCACTTTTAAAAATTGTTCAAAGAATTTAATTCCATGCAGAACTCTGGTTGCCATGGCAACCAAAAGAAAAAACTTTAAATATCTTCTTTTAAAAAACCATAAGAGCTAGAGCTTAGATATTTGGCATGAAACATCTTCTAGTGAGTGTCTACCAAGTTTGTTCAAATAAAAGCCCTGAGGTCAAAATTGGCCCCGCCCCAGGGGGGCATTGATTTTCTCTATAAGCATATAGTAAAAACTTAAAAAATCTTCTTTTAAAGAACCGTAACAGCTAGAGCTTAGATATTTGGCATGAAACATCTTCTAGTGAATGTCTACCAAGTTTGTTCAAATAAAAGCCCTGGGGTCAAAATTGGCCCCGCCCCAGGGGGTCATTGATTTTCCCTATCTGCATATAGTAAAAACTTAAAAAATCTTCTTTTAAAGAACCCAAAGAGCTAGAGCTAAGATATTAAGCATGAAACATCTTCTAGTGAGTGTCTACCAAGTTTGTTCAAATTAAAGCCCTGGGGTCAAAATTGGCCCCGCCCCAGGGGGGCATTGATTTTCCCTATATGCATATAGTAAAAACTTAAAAAATCTTCTTTTAAAGAACCATAAGAGCTAGAGCTTAGATATTTGGCATGAAACATCTTCTAGTGAGTGTCTACCAAGTTTGTTCAAATAAAAGCCCTGGGGTCAAAATTGGCCCCGCCCCAGGGGGGCATTGATTTTCCCTATATGCATATAGTAAAAACTTAAAAAATCTTCTTTTAAAGAACCATAAGAGCTAGAGCTTAGATATTTGGCATGAAACATCTTCTAGTGAATGTCTACTAAGTTTGTTCAAATAAAAGCCCTGGGGTCAAAATTGACCCCGCCCCAGGGGGTCATAGATTTTCCCTATATGCATATAGTAAAAACTTAAAAAATCTTCTTTTAAAGAACCCAAAGAGCTAGAGCTAAGATATTTAGCATGAAACATCTTCTAATGAGTGTCTACCAAGTTTGTTCAAATAAAAGCCCTGGGGTCAAAATTTGCCCCGCCCCAGGGGGTCATTGATTTTCCCTATATGCATATAGTAAAAACTTAAAAAATCATTTTTTAAAGAACTCAAAGAGCTAGAGCTAAGATATTTAGCATGAAACATGTTATAATGGGTGTCTACCAAGTATGTTCAAATAAAAGCCCTGGGGTCAAAACTGGCCTTGCCTGCGGGGGTCATTGATTTTCCTTATATGTGTATAGCAAAAACTTAAAAATCTTCTTTGGAAAAACCCAAATAGCTAGAGTTTAGATATTAAGCATGAAACATCTTTAAGTATATATCTACAAAGTTTGTTAAAATAAACGCCCGGGGGTCAAAACTGGCCCTGCCCCAGGGGTGTCATTGTTTTTAACTATATGTGTATAGTAAAAACTTTAAAAATCTTCTTTTAAAAAAGTCAATGAGCTAGAACTTAGATGTTTAGCATGAAACATCTTCTTATGGGTGTCTACCAAGTCTGTTCAAAAAAACAAATAAAAGCCCTTGGGTAAAAATTGGCCCGGGGGTGGGGGGGGCCTATATACAGGTGAGCGACCTCAGGGCCATCATGGCCCTCTTGTTAACATTTTTCTACACAAGTTTCATAATTTTAAAGCTAGAGGTACGAAAATTTGACACAGTACAGCTAGGTTCTTCTCATAACTAACAGTCTAGTTTGTTTACTTCTGATTATGTTGACATTTATATCCGAGGCCCGTCAAAGAGGGTATCAAAATTAACTAAAGTGTACATACTACAGTACCATGTGTCCGGACAGATATGTAGTTACATTGATTTAATTCAGATAAAAGCTTTGGTGTTCTTTTTTTTTATTTTTAACATGACACACAATATTTCAGCAGCAAATGCTGAAGTTTTGGATATTCTATTGTTTACTCTGCAAATAATTATTGCTGTTATATGAGGTCAACATTCTTGAAATAGATATTAAAATATTACCATTGATTTGCAGTATTTATCACCACCTTACCACTACATGGCTTACACTCTGTTTTTGTTTTTTTGTTGTTTTTTTTACATAATACATTGACCCTTTTTGGTCAAAGACTTGGATTGCTGTTTAAAATGTACAAATTACTTTCTCTGTCAGCTTCACAATTTTTTACTTTTAAATAAATTTTCAAAATTTTCATGAAAATGCTTCAGAATGCTTTAAAACCAACAAAAACCTCAAGATTTTTTTTTTAAAATCAAGGTAACGAAACACTCACTCTAAGATTATATGTCATGTAGCTATATATTTGCACTTTTGTTTATATATATGTTTTAACAGGAAGAAAGAGAAGGATGATGTTGACAAAATGATGAAAAATAAATCAATTGGTGATATATTTAAAACACAAGCTGATTATGATTCACAGTTATCTCAGGAACAGGTACCCGGCTTCAGTTATGTCCCCCAGAGTTTTTTCACATTGCTAGTTTGTTGACTGGTTCAGTTTTATGATCATTGTGATCAATTTGACTGGTTCAATACAATTTATAAATATCATGAATATTTGAACAGGTTGAAACTTATTATTTTGGTATCATTTAAGCTTCAAACCAATTTATTGGGACTTTCATTCACTGTTTCAAACTCTTCTAAATACAAACTAACTCTCTAAGATCTTAGCAATGTGAAAAGACTTTATTGAATAGATCATTTAGAAATTTTAGTGTTGTTAAATATACAGTCAGTCCTGTTTTGAAAGAAAATTCCAGAGTATAAACTCTATTATAAAAGCAGTAACTAAAACAGCAGATTAACCTTCAATGTAAACAATCATAAACAATGTAAACAATCATGTTTTGAAATAGTACTTATAAAAAGATATTGATATCTATTTCAATTTGATTTTACTGGTCTTTTAGACTCAGGTTTGACTGTATATTTATATTGAAAATAATGACATCATTGATGACATCACTCAATATCAATGACATATTATAATTATTACATCAGAAAGAAGGAGAAGACAGATGTAGAGAATATGTTGCCAGGCAGCATCAAGCAAATGTTTAAAGAAAAAGAATATGATAAAAAGTTGTCAACTGAACAGGTTAAACTATCGCACAGTTTCTGGTTTTTATCCGGTGCATGGTATAAAATGTTTTGATTATGTTCTTGTGATCCACAGGCACTAGACACAATTAATTTACCCATATATGCTCATAATACTATATATAAAGAATATTTTATATATAGTATTATGAGCATATATGGGTAAAATAATTGTGTCTAGTGCCTGTGTTGTGATCTGAGGTGAGATCTCGGTTGATCTGGTGATGGTATTGCATTGTGTTTATGTTTGGTCAAAATATGACATTGTTATTTTCATAAAGGATTGTTGAATAGATGAAAGCACTAGAATGAAACTGTCTTATGATTTTCATTGTGGTATGTCACAGGTAACATGTTGGTGATATTGGTGATTGAATAAGTCATGTCTCTAGGTTCAGATTGGTGGAATGTTTGGTTGCATTGAATTGCACAAAATGTCTCTGTTTGTGATACTTTGGCATTGATCATTGAACTTAGTTTATTTACTATTCAAAATATATAATATCTTTTCAATAGCACTGACAGAAACAAATATGTTCATGTAATGTTTGCTCTGTCAATTTCAGTTATCAATATAATGAATTATAGAGGTTTACATTTTTCATTTCAAAGCTCAGAATAAGTACAAAAGTGATTATATTTGCAATTAGATTATGCACTATTCACAGGCAAATTATTTGTAAATGGGATAAGGGTTTCCTTGCTATAACTTTATAAATACTAAAGGTATTTATTTGTGGGTTTGTGTTTTAAAATGGCAGCAGACATTGAATGAACTGAAGACACTTTAAAATGAAATCTTCGGTTTTGATGAAATATACCTTCTTATGTCCATATAACACCCACCCTTAGAGCCCCCCAACCCACCACATTTTGTAGGAAAAAACCTCTCACCTTATAGATTTATAATCAATTATAAAAGAACAATAAAAAAAAAAATCCAAATATTTTCATTTAGAAAGAATAATAAATGACGCTCCAGTAATGTAAACACATTAAAATGATATCATCCTGTATTATAAATTAGATTATAATAATGAATAATGATTTGTATAATTAAATTATATCTTTGATCAACATACATGTATTTATAAGGACATTTTTAGCTTGACTATTCGATAAGAATAAGTAGAGCTATTGCAGTCACCCGAGCGTCGGCGTTGGCGTCGGCGTAACCACTTATGTTAAAGTTTTTGTAATAGTTCAAATATTTTCAAAGTCCATTGACATATGGCTTTGAAACTTTGCACACTTGTTCACCATCATGACCCCAACCTGTAGACAGGAGGAGGTAACTCTATCAAGCATTTTGACAGAATTATGCTCCTTTTTCGACTTAGAATTTACGTTAAAGTTTTTGTAATACCTCAAATATTTTCAAAATTCATTGGCATAAGGCTTTGAAACATGTTGAAATTTTATACTCTTCTTTGAGAGCATAATAGGACTCTCTCCAAGGCCTTTAACTGTTATATGGATTTAAAGAAAATTTTTGCCTTTTTCTTTACTTAGAAAATTTTACCTTTTAATCAAGGCTTTTTTTACTATCAAGCACTAAGAATAGTCGAGCGTTGCTGTCCTACCGACAGCTCTTGTTATAGTTCTAATTAGCACCCCCAACCCCCCCCCTTTTGAAAATATGCAAGCTCCAGGGGTGTTAAATAGAGATAGTACTGTAATCAAGCTAGCAGCAACCAATTATTAACTTCTAAATATTTCCTATAATGCCTTAGGGCTGAGCTTGCTTCAATTTTTTGGGGGCAATTTTCAAGATTTAATTGGGGACAGTTTCTGTTTTAAGAAAATAGATATGTTACCCCCCTTACACAGTGGGATTTTTATTCTCTGATGCATTCCATTAATTTTATATGTTCTAAAATATTCCAAGGTATAAGTTAACCCATTACTTCATGAGCATTTTGTGAAAAATGGCTGTTTTCATTGAAAAGTCTCCCATTACAAGTTCAAATTGCTATAAAACTATAAAAACTGCTTCAACACTAATCAAACTTGGCACAAATGTTGACTGGACCATTGCCCTTGCAACAACATGCTCAGGCTTAAATTTTCTGTTACCATGGCAATGAGGGGACATCTCAAAATTGCCAAAAATCACTATTTTGCATTGATTTTTTCCATCATAATTGATTTCAAAGTGCTGCAACTTCTCAATGGATTGAGATAGAGTCAAATGCTTTTCAGCGTTGGTTACACGTTACCTTATGATCAATCTGAGGTCATTTATAGCCTCTCACAAGTCCAAAATTTTCTTGGCGATGAGGGGGACTCCGCCCCCCTTCAAACCCCCCAAAACAGAAGGGGGCACATCCCCCTTCTGGCAACCCCCTGATGTATCTTTTGGTTGGGGGGCCGCGCCGAAAAAGTGGTCACTTTTTTAAACAACATTTCTCAAACAAAAACAAGTGTTGGGGGCCTAAATAAGGCATTTTTTCACCATTTGAGACAACAAAAAGGGGGGGGGGTGAAAAAGGCGTTAAAAGGCGTGTATATGAAGTAATGGGTTAAAGAAATAATTGTGTAAAGATCACAATCATACTCATGCTGATTTTGCGACTCTGTAGGAATGGTATTGCATGCATATATTTTGGTACAATGTCATTTGCTTATATACAAACATAGTGTAAAGACGTGCTAAATGTAGTGTTACAGTTATAATGGATTGGTCAATTAAAAATTATTCTTTTGCACTTTCAACACTCATCTTTATTTTGGGTATGTTATAAATAGAATATAGCATTTATATACAGTATTGAACTTACACTTATTCAATATATATCCTCTATATATGTGTTGTAGGAAGAATATCTGGAAGCTCTCAACAAGGAAGAAGTCTGTAAACAACATTTTACAGACTTACAAAAACAACATCAAGATTTAGAAAGGGAAGCAAATGTTCTTTTGAAGGATGCTGATGTATTGAAAAAGCTGTATGAGGAAAGAGATGGGTTATTATGTGAGAATAAATTTTCTGCATTTTTCTTTTCACTATTTAAACTATAAGATAAATACTGGTGATATCAGTACTTCACCACACAGGTGTTTTTCCTTCTGAAGCAGGGGTTGTTTTAAGGGCAGCTTCCATGCAGAAAAATTCTTTCAAATCATGGAGTTTTCCCCAAAAATTGAATTAACATCAAGTTTTTTCTCACCCTTTTGCAAAATATACCATATAATTTTCCCCAAAAATTAATGGCAGGGCTGCTTCCCCAACCTGTGAAAAAAAGCCCTGAATATCCTCCTTATACTGTCTTATATTTATAATAAACAGTTGTGATTGTATATATAGGTGTAATAGGAAGTTTGGTTGAGTGTTTTATGTGTCAGGCACCTGTGCTTCACCAGGCATTACAATTAGTGTAAGAAAAAATTCTGGGTTTGCATGCATGATCATATTTCCAAAACCCGCTGATTATAGAATTCTGTTGAACCAAGTGACTCATGGTCATAAGTGTAGGTTAATCACCAAGTCCCTTGTAATGCTTTTCACTCATTTCGGGCTAAGAATCACACAAAAAACAAATTTCAATTCAATTATGAGCATATTTCTTTATTATCATTTGTTTTAAAACAGAAAAATACTATTTTCAGTAATTTGTTATTTTTCTTGAATATAGCGGATATATTTGGTGGAGAATACGGAAGTGTAGAAGAAAATAAACTAGAGGCAAAGTTTGATGAACTAATGGACAAGAAACAGCGTGTCAGTGTGGCCAATTACAAATGGACTAATGCCCGTGTACTTCTACAACATGCTGTCAACCAGCTGGCTCATGCTGTCAGAAAATGGTCAGACTTAGACAGAATCCCTCCACAGTGAGTTAACTATCATATTATTACAATTGATGTGTTAGATCTCGATAGAGATGGAATATGAATGATTGTTTTTTAATTATTAAGAAAATGTTGTATTTCTATCAAAATCTGATCAAGTTTGTTGGTCCATTATTGAGTTATTGCACTTTCTTTTATATAGGCAGTCTTTAAGCTCATAATGAGAAAGAGAGGGTTGTCCTTCTTGGGTTTGCACTGGCACATTATGTTTACACTTGGCACTGGTTACAGTTTTTTGTGCATCTTCTTGTAAAAGTTCTTGTATCATTAAGATATTAGCTGATAACTACTTCATAATAGGTCACTGTTTAATTTGAGCATGATTTTGACAGACTTATGGCCCTTTGTGAAGTTAAAAAATTTCTGGTCAAATTTTTGCCTTAAGCACTGAAGGTTTTGAAACTTAATTAATACATATCTTCAAGATCATAATTATAGGTAACTTATATAAGGCCAATAACTCTGACCTAGATTTTATGGCTTTTTCCCTTCATTATCAAGGCTTATGTGTTTTACTATCAAGCACTGAGAATAGTGAAAGGCTGTCATACTAACAGCTCTCATATTGCAGGATATTATGTTTTTTGGTACAGGTTACACAATCATTGTGATTGCACATTAATACAAATGAAATAAAAAAGTGTTTGCTAATTTTTGCACATTTTTGTGTCAAAAATGTTTTCTTTTCTATGTTCAAATCTTGAAATTATAAATATAACATGTTACTCTTAAAAATGGGAAATTTATCAGCATCTACCATAAATACAAAACTATGAACATTTTATTGTAACAGTTCTTGAAACATTTGACATTTTATCAAAAGAACAGACAGTGTTTTTGAATTTCCCATACATTTCAAGAAATGACCTTGACCTATCTCGCTATAGCACCAATATTTCCAGAAATATCTGCCTCTTGAACCCAGAACTGACCATAAAACTGTTTAACTGTAATTTCTTATTTCTAGAGCTATTTACTTCACTTAAATGTTCCTTGTCATCATCTACATCAAATATGACCAAGGTTCATAAGTCTGGGAACGTTTTATTAGGAATTATCTACCCCTTGAACTCATAACTTTGTTAGAAATTATTTTCTTACTATTACTTCTTTTTTTTGAGGTATTTACACCAATCTTCATATACATATTTCATAGCACAGTGTTGCATCTAGAATTTCAAAATTATGGGGGATTGTCCCCCACCTAACTGAAAAATGTGAGGGACATGCATCTACCTAACAATATGATCGACATACCGAAAAGAATTCATTTATTTTATGTTTAGGCATTTTTGACAGCTATTGTCCGCTCAGCAAGGGAAATAGAAAAATAAAAAATTGACCAATACTAAGTGCGCATATCAAACCGTCAGTCAATACACAAGTGAGATTACGCCGTCAGCTGCTCCACACGATTTAGTACATATTTTAGTCATTACTGCGAAAATTAACTGAATTAAGTTGAAAAGATCATCAGATACGTGACTTGGTGCGCATTAACTGCATTAAAATGCACGATCTGCAAAAATTAGGCTATTACTGGCACAATTGTGCAGCCTAGATGCAACACTGAAATCAACATCCACATTAATATGGGTTTGAATAATTGGAGTATTATGGAGCAATAAAGTGCTGTCATACAACTTTTGTTTCTTCCAATATTTTTCCTAAATTTGTTTTGTTTGTTTACTCTTCTGGAGGATTGCACATTTTACATGGTGATTTTGTTCACTCATATATAGAGGTACAGGTTACACATGGTGATTTGGTTTTGCACGTTTTGTTTTGCAGACAAATGCAGGTGAAATATACAGCTGCCACTGAAACAAGAAATAACTTGATCGCAGCCGTTCAAAATGTTCAATCAACCCAAAGATATTTAAATACAATACAGTTCCCTTATTGTCAACCATGTGAAATGGAAACCCTTTCAAGGGCAGCTAACAATATATACACAGGTAAATTAAGGTCATGTTTTTATCATGAAGGGTTCGAAATGCAGCACTACTATAACCTGTTGAATTTTAAAATCAAGTTTGTCATTTGAATTTTCTTTTTAGAAAATGTGGTTTTGATAATTGACCAAGTTACAATTATGTTGAAGTTAATTTTAGAATTATATACTCATTGATAAAATAGATTGCAAGGATTTTCTATTAAATTCAAACTACTGGTTTGGTCTCTCAATTATACAGAAATTGGCTTTATAAAAAGGATGATTACAATTCCAATGTGTCTTTGTATGTTTGAGCTCCGGCAAAAACTTCAAAATAAGACCTTATATTGATTTTATTTACCTGTCAATTCTGATAATATTAATTATACGGCCGTGGGGGCCTTATTGACAGGTTAATTAAATCACATTATAAAAATATGCAAAATATATTTGATTTTGGAATGTCAGCTAATTGATGTAAAAGACAATTTCCATAAAAAATCCTTGCTATACAAAATTAAATGTTTCTGTTTTCATATAGGGGTATACAGTAAAGACCGTAGCTTGTACATTTAGTGTTACAGTGTATATTTAGTGTTATAGTGTTATTATACAAATATGGACTATTTAGCTGCTGAATATGATGTGATATGTACTGAAAAAATTAATATTGACTGAGGCGATAAAGAGTACAGCTAAAAAGTACATATCTGTTTTATTATATAATTTATAAATAGCTTTTATATTGCTTATTAAATCTGCCATTGCCTACATCGGAAATCAACATTTTTCAGCTTGTCTAATTTTTCCATAAATTGGCCCTTTCTTTTAAATGAACGCATTAGCAAGCTTATTCTTAGTGTTCTTTAAAATGTAAAGACAGTAACTAAAATAGACTAATTTGACTCTTATTTACAAATCATCCAACATTTTTTTTTGGAGAATAATATATAACAGCCAAGTTAGCATGACGTCATGTCATAATCTCGCGTCTTTTTTTAGAAGAAACACCAGTGAATATACTCTGAAAATCTATTTTTAGGAGAAAAAAACAATGAATGTAGTCTGATATTGACCTGGTATTTTTTACAAAAAGTTGCTTGCTTAGCCAATCAGTGAAAGGCATTTCAAAGCTATTTATAGATTATATAATAATTAGTGTTATAGTGTACATTTGTACATTAAATGCACATTATGCCTCAAAAACTTTTTTTTAGATTTTTAAAAAAAAGTTTCTTCCTCAGAAAAGGCAAACATGAATTTTAAAATGTTTAAATGATGGTTAGATGCTTGTATCCTGAAGAAATTTGTGATAAATGTGAATTTATTTGTTGTAAATGTAGCAAAATGTAAACAAAGTAGTATTTAAACTTCCATACAAAATACTTATTCACTATAAATACTTTTTGCTAAAAAGCAACAGATGAGAAAGATGGTTCCGGTAATTGGTCAATAAATTGAACACCAAAGTTTAAAAGCTTTTGAGAAATAAAAATAAAAACATTTTTGAGGGATAATGGGCATTTAAGTGTTATTATAATAAGTGTACATTAAGTGTTATTACATACATTTGCATATTTAGTGTTATAGTGTACATTAAGAGAAGTAGTGTACATTTGTATATTTAGTGTTAGTGTACTTGTGTACATTTAGAGAACTAGTGTACATTTGTATATTTAATGTTATAGTGTACATTTGTACATTTAGTGTTAGAGTGTACATTTGTACATTTAGTGAAATAGTGTACATTTGTACATTTATTGTAAAAGTGTACATTTGTATATTTGTTGTTAAAGCGTACAATTGTACATTTAGTGTTATATACAATGGATAACTTCAAATGTAAAGAGAGACAGGTCTTTTATACAAATTGAGTAGTTTATAGTTAAAGAAATTTCTGTACAATTTGAAGATATGGGTTAAATGAATCTAAATTGCTTTAAACTTGTTATGGCACTTGAAGAAATAAATATCAACCTTTACCTGAGATACTGGACTAGTCTTGTATTGAATTTGGGGTTGTCAGTTGCTCTGGTAATGAGATAGTTTAATGTCATTATGGCTGATTTGCGTGTTTTATCTCCGCGCCCTCCATTTTTAACTTATTAATTCTTGACTTTTTGCTTTGCGTGGTCGCGGGGCGAAAACACGATTGTCACAAATCAGCCACCATATCATGTTGCTATTATAATATATATAAGTGTATTACTTATAATTTATCAGTGAGACTACAATTAAATACTGTTGTGCGACGGAAGCCCGGAACAACAATATTGCAGCTTGTAGTAATGTGAAGAGTTGCCACAAATACCTTGGTGACAAAATAGATTTCCCATATCTGAAGCCAAATGAAATAGAAACTCTGGAACGTGCCACTGCAAATATCTACACTGGTATACAAATGCACTAGATTATGTGTTTTAATGTTCTTTATAAGTTTTCAAGAGCACCCTGTGAGAGATTCTGATGTCAGCCACTGTCTCCTCAGACTCTATATAAAACAAATCAAATAAAAGAAATACTGCAACAAGAAAATTACATAAAAAAATTACATTAATTGAAATTACTTAATACTGGATCCCATAAGTCATCAAGGCAAATTATCTATTTAACAAATTAAATTTTTTATTACATTTTCAGAGCAATAGGTCAAAGGTCACTTGGGACATGTTATTATTAAAAATAATAAAACTGGCCATTAAATCAAAGTGCATTGACCTATAACTCTGAACTTTAGATGCACCTAGATGCATTCTTTTTGAGGGGGGTCAAAAGGTCAAAGTCACTGAGACCTGTAATAAAAACTATTCATAATTTAAAGTTAATTGAGCTAGGGGCTTCAAACTTTGTACTTGTATGTGTATGCACTTTGCAGTTGTTATGTCCATTTTAGGTTATTACGGTAGGTCACTTGGTACTTAAATAAACAAATATTAAACTGGCTGCATATCCCTGGGAACTTCAAACTTTGTATGTTGTTGCACCATCTTGAGTTTTACATGCTACACCTATTTTTAGGTCAAAAGGTAAAGGTCAAGGACATTGTGATCTTTAACTCAAATTGTGTGTTTATTAAGAAAGAATGCAGTTAACTATCTAGCACTTAGCCAAATGGAGTGCACTGTTCCTCTGTGTCGTAGTGAGACAGCTCTTGATAATCATTTATGAAGTTTGCATTAATGTGAACAATTTAACATGAGGATGGTTACAAAATATGGCTTCATTTTATAGTGAAGGTGAACAAGGAATATTAAGTAGTAAACTATGAAATATCGAATTACAGTACATTTGTACTTTATGAGAATGGACTCTTTTTCACTTTTTGCTGCATAAACATGTAGAACAAACCTTAGTAACTTAATGAAATAAATGAAATAAGGTTATTTGTGACATATCTTTTTATATTTAGATAGATATAAAGCTCATAATAACATTTCTTATTGTTAAGTCATTATACATCAGGTCATAATGACATGTTTGTTTGTTATAAGATAAATTATAATGCTGAATTTTAGTGATCTTGCATCCTAAAGATAAATTATAATGCTGAATTTTAGTGATCTTGCATCCTACTAATGAATCAAATAACGGGGCAGAATGTTGTTTATGCTGTACAATGGTGGAGGTATGAAGATTAGATATAAATTTATAATTCAATTTTAAATATAGATATGCTGACACCGTCAAGATGCAAGCATGCGTTTCAGTGCTATGACATCACATGGAAACGAGCTACAGCTCTCCTGCAATGGTTTGATAATGTATGTCATTCACTATGTGTGATTTACCGATGTGATTTACCGGTTTTCTTTTTCAGATGATTGGATATGGTTTCATGAATGCTGTGTTTTTTTTGTGTGTGTTTTTTTGCTTTGTTATGAAGACAAGGTTGTAGAGTTTGTTTTTAGCTCTGCTATAAATTAAGAAATATAACATTAATGCTGTGTCACAAACTGTTTCATTCTGAAAATACTGTGAAATCATGTTAATTTATGAATTTTATAGAAAACAAACTCCTAGAAATGTGTTACAACTTTTAGATCTATACCAAAAAACATCTTTCGGCAAAAATCTCTGTTAAAAATCTATTTAAAAAAAAACCTTTTAATTTAAAGTATTGCTTAAAGTGACATTTTGCCATCCAAAGGTATATAGTGAGTGAATGGGTGAAAATCAAAATAAGTTCATTTTGCCATAATTTCTTTATTTTAATAATTAAGTCTGCATAAACAATAAATAATGCACAGATCCAAACGAAATTTCTGTAAATATCCATTAGAAATTACCTATCACGCTTAGTTTATTGAAAGAATGGGGCAGTTTTTAGCTCGACTTTTCTATGAAAAGGGGAGCTATCCTACTCGCCCCGGCGTCGGCGTCGGCGTCGGCGTTGGCGTCACACCTTGGTTAAGTTTTTCGTACCACCCCACTTTATTTCAGAAGTATTACAAGTATGGCTTTGAAACTTACCATACTTGTTCACCATCATAACCTCCATCTACAGACAAGAGTACATAACTCTGTCAAGGTTTTTGACAGAATTATGGCCCTTTTTTGACTTAGAAAGTGTATTGAGCTTGGTTAAGTTTTTTGTACCACCTCACTTTATTTCAAAACCATTGGAGGTATTGCTTTGAAACTGACCATACTTGTTTACCATCACGACCTTCATCAACAGACAAGAGGACATAACTCTGTCAAGGTTTTTGACAGAATTATGCCCTTTTTGACTTAGAAAATACATTGAATATGGGTAAAATCCACTTATTGCCTTAACCCTTTGAGATATTGCTTTGAAACTTTTAATGCTATTTCACATCATTACCCCCATCTGTACGCAAGAGAAGGTAACTCTGTCAAGGATTTTTTTAAAAATTAAGGCCTTTTATCGACTTAGAATCTTGGTTAAGTTTTTAGTACCAGTCCACTTTTTGACTGAACTGTTTGAGATATTAATTTGAAAGTTGGAATACTTGTTTACAATCATGATTCCCAAACATGTCCAGGAGAAGGTAATTCTGTCAAAGATTTTATTTGAATTATGGCCCTTAACTGTCAATGTTTTGTATTATAGGCAAGCACTAAAAAACTTAAAAAATCTAAAAAAATTCATTCCTATCCACTGAACCTGCAGTGTTCAAGGGTATCACACAATTCAGTAAAATAATTCTTCACTAAATATCTTAATGCTCATGGCCATTGTTCACTTTAAAAATACAGAGATTCTTGTATTGCCTTTTACTGCAAAAACTTTTTTTATTGGCAAGCAATAAAAAAGTCGAGCGCGCTGTCTTACGGACAGCTCTTGTTTTAAATGTTAGGCAGATTTATAATTTTATCCTTAACATTTTTAATATCAACTGTTGGTCAAACACCATTTTGACTGTCAATGTTTTGAAATGTAAAGTCAATTCCGCTCAACTTGACTATGAAAATATGAGCATAATGTCACTTTAACTTCATTCAAAGAAATACCTTTTAATAAAACATATGCTTAATTTGAGTGAAATTAATGATAAAAAAATAATTTTGACTTGGATTATTTTGTACTGGTTAATGTTTTTGTTAAGGTTTAATAATTGCTCAAAAAACTATCAAATTGAAAGATTTACAATAAACTGGGATTATTTGTTCACTATAAAAAAAAGAAAGCATTTCTGCTAAATTATCTCCCTTTTTATATCTAACTAACTTTCTCAAAACAACCATCATTTACCCACAAGGGCAAGTAATTCTACCAAACATTTTTGTGAAATTATGTTCCTTGTTTACTTTATTTTTATCATACTATCGACAGCACAGAGGAAAGTGTTCGAGCACTGCTTCTGGGACATCTCATTTTGAGATTGCTTGATTTGATTATTTCAATTATCATCCACGAACATTTTTGAAAAACTAAGAATATCAAATTTTCTTATGAAGATATTCCATGATTTCACAGTATTCTATCAACATTTTGATGCACATAGTTTATACGTTTTCTTTTCTGGTATTTTCATGGGTTTTGCTTTACACAATTTTCTCACAGATATGGTGGATAAGGGACGGCACAAACACGCATTTACATGTTATGAAGTCACATATAAAAGGGCTGCGGCACTACTGCAATGGTTTGACAATGTAAGATATCATTTCAACTTTCATCTGATAAAATTAACTTCAGTATGAACCAGTGCATAGATAACAATTTATAATACTGCACGTTTGTAATATTGCTTTTCATTGGATAATCATGGTGTTTATAAAGTTTTATATACACGGCTACTGTCGATTCATGAAGAAATCTTACCTTTTCTCTAAAGATTGATGCTAGCTGTATTATAAATTCGTTATAAAGATTGTTGACAGGATATATGGCTGTATATAAACAGCTGTTTGCAATATAACCCGAGCTGTTATATTTACAAACAACTGTTTATATTACTAAGGGCCATATAACCTGTCAGCAATCATTATAACTAATAATATAAGGTTATTTAGGTTACACTGTAATTCAAGTCACTGAGAGTTATTGGAGCACTTAAAGCTTTGTTCTAGACATGATAAATTTGTTTTCTTTTTTTTTAGCTCACCTGTCACAAAGTGACAGGGTGAGCTTTTGTGATCGCCTTTCTTCCGGCGTCCGTCCGGCGTCCGCCCGTCATCCATAAACTTTTACTTTAAATGACATCTCCTCATAAACCACTAAGCCAATTTCATCCAAACTTCACAGGAATGTTTCTTTGGTGGTCACCTTTTAAAATTGTTCAAAGAATTTAATTCCATGCAGAACTCTGGTTGCCATGGCAACCAAAAGAAAAAACTTTAAATATCTTCTTCTATAAAACCCAAAGAGCTAGAGCTTAGATATTTGGCATGAAACATCTTCTAGTGAGTGTCTACCAAGTTTGTTCAAATAAAAGCCCTGGGGTCAAAATTGGCCCCGCCCAAGGGGGTCATTGATTTTCCCTATATGCATATAGTAAAATCTTAAAAAATATTCTTTTAAAGAACCCAAAGTGCTAGAGCTAAGATATTTAGCATGAAACATCTTCTAATGGGTGTCTACCAAGTTTGTTCAAATAAAAGCCCTGGGGTCAAATTTAGCCCCGCCCCAGGGGGTCATTGATTTTCCCTATATGCATAAAGTAAAAACTTAAAAAATCTTCTTTTAAAGAACCCAAAGAGCTAGAGCTAAGATATTTAGCATGAAACATATTCTTATGGATGTCTACCAAGTTTGTTCAAATAAGAGCCCTGGGGTCAAAATTGGCCCCGCCCCGGGGGTCATTGATTTTCCTTATATGTGTATAGCAAAAACTTCTTTGAAAAAAACCAAATAGCTAAAGTCTAGATACTAAGCATGAAACATCTTCTAGTGAGTGTCTACCAAGTTTGTTCAAATTAAAGCCCTGGGGTCAAAATTGGCCCCGCCCCGGGGGTCATTCATTTTCCTTATATGTGTATAACACATATGTGTAAAGAAAAAACTTGACCAGCTAGACCTTAGATGTTTAGCATGAAACATCTTCTAATAGGTGCCTACCAAGTTTGTTCAAATAAAAGCCCTGAGGTTTAAACTGGCCCCACTCCGGGGGCCTATATACAGGTGAGCGACTTCAGGGCCATCATGGCCCTCTTGTTTAGGTTATGTAAAGCATTGTAAATAGATTTCTAGGCCATTTTAAAAGCTATAAACTCTTGATGCCAAGCTGTGAAGGTCACTTGCAGTAGGACTTGAATCTCACAAGGGTATATGGCCCTTTATAACTTAGAGCTAGCCTTTTATTTCAAGTCAGAACATCATATTGGCCTACCTTGATAATTTTTAATCAAAACTGATAAGACATTACATAATATCATTATAGTATTTTAATGTCATCATACCTTATAAAGATGTTATTTACAATGTTAAAAAGCTTGACACAATCTCAGTTTTTGTGGGCTTTGTCTCAGAGTAAGTAAAAATACCAAATTAATTTTTGCTCATATTTTGAGGTACATAATTTTAAGAAGCTTCAATTGGTTTCAGTTATGGCAGGGTATATCAATTAAACAAATTTCTTTGTTTTTTTTATGCTACAAATTGTTCTAATTCATCTTCAATTACTAAAAGATCCATTACCTACCATAAGCTATGAACTTCTGTAAGCTACAAACTACTGTAAACTATGAACTACTGTAAGCTATGAACTTCTGTATGTAAGCTTTAAGCTACTGTATACTATGAACTACTGTAAGCTATGAACTAATGTGAGCTGCTGTAGCCTATGAACTATTGTAAGCTATGAACTACTTTAACTTATGAACTGTTATAAGCTATAAACTACTGTAAGCCATGAACTACTATAACCTATCAATTATGGTAAGCTATGAACTACTTTAAGTTATGAACTATTACATTCAAGGTTATTCAAGGCACCATTCAGAAAGATCTGAAAAAGGTAACAGAAGAGGTCAAAAAGGTTGAGAAAGATTTACGGGCAGAAAGAATAAAGTTGATCAGAGATAAAGTGGCAGAAAGTGGTGGAGACGTGGGAGGTTTAACTGATGCAGGTAAAATCATGGACATCTTGTTTATTTCATCATTATTTAATTGATAATTGAACTGTTCTATGATTACAAAAAAATTATTTCCGATTTTTTTAAGTTGCTTTAAAGCTGCATGACTCAAGATAAATGCTTATTTCTAACACGGTTTTCTGAAGAAAAAAATACTGATTATGATATTGGTGAATGTTTGTTTCTAATTGGTAGGTAGGGATAAAAAATTTCTCTTGTGTGGGCATCTCTACATTTCTTGACAGATTTCAGCCAAATTTCCACAGAAGTATTGTAACAAAAGGGTTAATTCAGACATATTTTGCATAAATTTTTCAATGTTTTATGTATTGTAAATATGTATACATTTTTTTAGAAAATTAAAGCCTGATGTCTATAAAAAATAACAAATTGTGATTTTCTTTTGTAACAAAAATTATGTTTTTTGTTTGTTTATTTATTGAACATTATTTATAAAGATGGTACAATTACACATTACTCTAAAGTTGTAATTTCTTGAAACTATGTTAGTTCATCTTGAAATTAATTGTCAGATAACCATGGCTGAACCATTAACATTTAATTGTATCAGCCATGGGATTTCTGGCCGACACCCAGTGAATAGGAAGTGTGTCAAAGACAGGTATTTCATTGGTCGCATCACAATTTCATGAGGCAATTAAAACCATTGAAAACGCTCATTCTATAGGACATTCAGTATTACAGACAAACTTGTGGCAACCAATTAAATTCAGCTGTGAAACATTCAATATTAACCAATTAAGTTCAGTAGTAAAAATGTGAACGATAATCAGCAAAAAAAGCATAGAAAATTTACTGTTACTGATAGTTTTTACCTTTGCCATTGAAGAATATAAATTTTGTTTAACATGATTTCATTAATTGTGCACACCTGTTACTAATCTTGAGACATGCTGCTTTAAATCACAAATAGCTTACTTGTTAGGCCCTAAAGGAATGCACTTTTGAAAAATTGATTTCAGGTATAATTTTGTATATATTAAAGTGGGTGGTTTCAAAGTAAAATAACTTGATTTTTTTTTACATGCCAGAAATGATGCCAGGTATAGTAACCTATGTTTCCGTCAATATACACAAGTTACCTATCTCTCACACACTCCCCCTTTTGTTTGCTATATCACCTTTGTATTCAAGTATTTAGCTTGCTAGAACAATGCTTCAAAGTGAGCTTTCTATATGATAGACGGATACTCCAGCTTTAACAAAAACTGTTCCCATTCAGTAACATTAACTTTGTATTTGTCTTTTCTCAAAAACTGCAAGAACTAGGCCGGTATACCAAAACCAAGTTTATTAATAACAACTACTGTAAATAAAAAGTCAATTATTCAACTTCATGGCATTAATCATAGGGTGTGTCATGTAAGAACTTGGTAAATAAAATAATTGCATGGTTCTTGTTTGTTTCTTTAATACATAATGTATTTATTATGGTGAGTTAACATACACCATATATTGCCCTGGTTGTTGTGGATGTTATGTTATATCTGTTGCTTTCATAGACTGTTTGAAAAATGCTAACTTCACCCGCTATTATACATTAAAGGTGTACTACATAGGGAATCTTTTCTTCTTTTTTTTCAATTGACAAAAAACAATTTCAGTTTGGAACTAAATTGGGGAAAATATTTTCTTAAGGGCTTTTAATTAATTGGAATGAAGATTTCATTTTTGGAGATTTTTTAATGTGCAAAAAAAGAAAATCAAGTTTTAGTGCTCGCCAATTTTTTTAAGCCAATCACCGACGAGGATTTTTCAAATTTTCAGGTTACAAATCTTAATAGAACAGATTTTATATATTAAAAACTGGACGTTTTATATTATAAAACGCAAGTGGGCGGATCACTAAGCCGGTTAGAGTGCATATTGGATGTTCTTCGTAAATAAGAAAGCTACAGTCGCTTCGCAAGCTCCGCTCCTTTTTAGCTTTCTTATTTACGAAGAACACCCAATATGCACTCTAACCTATACTTGGAAAAGATTTATTTCAGAAAACATAATTTAATTCAGGAAAAATATTTTTATTGGGAAAATCTAATGAATTTATAGCAATTTCACCTATTACATGTATACCATATATGTCATGTTGAAAAAAAATAAGAATCAGTTGTGTGTCATAGAAAGAATCAAAGAGTTTTTACTCCTGTTCAGTCAGAAAAGGTGATAAATGTGACATTGGTTTGATAGCTAGACTAACATAGAGATATTGAGAAAACTATGCCATCCTACTTCGAAATGAGGCTACTAGGCTAGGCCTTGCTTTTACTATTTTATAATTATGATTGTTTGAAATTATATTGATGATTCAATGTCCATTGGTTTATATTTAAAACATAAAATAATTATATAAATAAATGTTTGTTATTGCAAATTTCTGCTACAATTTCTTCAGATTCAGATATACCCTGCAATAGTAAGTTATAACAGTACTTACAGTTCACCTTTCCCCTTAGTCATCATAATTTGTAATACAATATAAGTTTTAACTTGAAAACTAGAAAGACAGTAAGGTATGGGGAATATGGGATGGTTGTCTAGTTTTATGTTCAAATTTAGCTTTTGTATTATTATGAGACAGTGTAGTATTCCTTGTAAAGTCAATACCCAGTGTTGTGTATCCATTATTTCTTTATATACAGTCAAACCTTTCATTAAATATCACAATATAATTTTGGTTGAATCCTTAGATCTTGTTAATATCATGTGTCAATGAAAAAAGAAAAAATTAACATGATTTAAATTTTCAAAGAAAGATAAAAATATTCCTGTTAAAAAAAGAATATTTTCATTCTACTATATCATCTGAATTGTTTTCGTTTTTTAGCTCACCTGAGCATAACATGCACAAGGTGAGCGATAATTGTTGATTACCCTGTGTTTGTTATCCATCGTTAATATTTTGCTACACACAAACAACATCTTGTTCCAGTAGTTTTGCTAATAATGCTTAGATTGGTCTTCTACAAAGACTTGGTTGTCCTTTACATAAGTTGCTGACAAGATGGCTGCCAGAGCTAAAAATAGAATCAAATTTTTATACCCAGAACATAAATATTTTGTATAAAGGATAATCTTAAGGTTCTATACAAAATGTTATTTTTATATCATTCTCTATTGGTTAAAATTATCTGTGCTTTGTTTACAAAGTTATGTCCCTTAGTGCAACAGATATCAGGTGAGCCAGTATGGCTACCGTGGCCTTATTCTTCTAAAACTATGATCTTGAACAAATATTAAATGGTATTTCAATGCAAGTTTGACTGTAGATAAAAGATTTGTTCTCGTATCTTAAATCATGTTCATTTCAATTCTTTTTTTTTGTCATGTATATAGATAACTGAACCCTCATGTTCTAAATTGAAATTATAAATGTAAAATTGACATGTTTAATCACAAAAAATACATGCCTATATTGTGCCTGTTATATGTTGATGTCAATGGACATTGTAATAATCATTGAGTATTGATGATGCAAATAAAGCAAATATTTTTATAATCTACACATGAAAAAGTCATTTAATGAAATTATAATAATGAATTTATTTCATGTATGGTCAGTTTATCATGCAAGACTTGTACTATCCCAGATAATTTATATAGCATTATATATTATACAAATATGGACATTTTAGCTACATGTTGTGAATATATTGTACATTTACATTATTTTAGCTACATATGTTGTGAATATATTGTACATTTACATTATATTCACCAGCTAAAAAGTTTATATTTGTTTTATTGTATAATTTATAAGTAGCTGATCAAATCTTCCTCTAAACACAATGCAAAAGACATTTCTTCAGTTGTTTTTTTTTTTAAATAATTTGGCTATAATTTTTATAAAGAACACATGGGAACACTAAATTTGTGTAATGTTTCCAAGTACTTATAAGGATGCCAACAATAATATACTACTTTGTCTTTTACTTATACATTTCTCTAATCATATCCTTGTGTACTTTGGCAATTTTCTAGAAAATCTATTTTTAGGGATAAATTGTAACCCAGTAAAAGTACATGAAATTGACCTGTTAATTATTTTAAGAAAAAATATTATGTCCTATAACCAATCAGGAAAAGTCTTTTTAAAGCTATTTATAGATTGTATAATAAAACTGTTGTAGCATTAGAATTGTTGTTTCCCAGCATGTTGTATAGTTACCTTCCCTTTTTTTACAAATTTTCAGGTTTAAAAGGCTTAACAGGTAAAATTATTGCACAGGAAAAAAAAGATAATTTTTCACTGCACTCACATCATTTAGGAAAAATTGACTGCTGTTTACTAATGTAGCAATTTTCAGATAAAAAAGCCCTCGGACACTGTATAGATTTTTGATGATATTAGTTAGAAATTAACTGACTAATTAACTAGACTATTAACAAATTAATTCATATGTCAAAATTAACCAATTATACAGCATAGCAATATTGATTCATATGTCAAAATTAACCAGTTTTACAGTATAGCAATGTTGATTCATGTGTCAAAATTAACCATTTTTACAGTATAGCAATGTTGATTCATATGTCAAAATTAACCATTTTAACAGCATAGCAATGTTGATTCATGTGTCAAAATTAACCATTTTAACAGCATAGCAATGTTGATTCATGTGTCAAAATTAACCATTTTACAGTATAGCAATGTTGATTCATATGTCAAAATTAACCATTTTAACAGCATAGCAATGTTGATTCATATGTCAAAATTAAGCATTTTTACAGCGTAGCAATGTTGATTCATGTGTCAAAATTAACCAGTTTTACAGTATAGCAATGTTGATTCATATGTCAAAATTAACCATTTTAACAGCATAGCAATGTTGATTCATATGTCAAAATTAACCAGTTTTACAGCATAACAATGTTGATTCATGTGTCAAAATTAACCATTTTTACAGCATAGCATTGTTGACTCATGTGTCAAAATTAACCAATTATACAGCATAGCAATGTTGATGCATATGTCAAAGCTAACCATTTTTACAGCATAGCAATGTTGATTCATTTGTCAAAATTAACCATTTTTACAGCCTAGCAATGTTGATTCATTTGTCAAAATTAACCATTTTTACAGCCTAGCAATGTTGATTCATTTGTCAAAATTAACCATTTTTACAGCCTAGCAATGTTGATTCATTTGTCAAAATTAACCATTTTTACAGCCTAGCAATGTTGATTCATTTGTCAAAATTAACCATTTTTACAGCCTAGCAATGTTGACTCAAATGTCAAAATTAACCAATTATACAGCATAGCAATGTTTATTCATATGTCAAAATTAACCAGTTTTACAGCATAGCAATGTTGATTCATATGTCAAAATTAACCATTTTTACAGCATAGCAATGTTGATTCATATGTCAAAATTAACCAGTTTTACAGTATAGCAATGTTGATTCATATGTCAAAATTAACCATTTTAACAGCATAGCAATATTGATTCATATGTCAAAATTAACCATTTTTACAGCATAGCAATGTTGATTCATATGTCAAAATTAACCAGTTTTACAGTATAGCAATGTTGATTCATATGTCAAAATTAACCATTTTAACAGCATAGCAATATTGATTCATATGTCAAAATTAACCATTTTTACAGCATAGCAATGTTGATTCATGTGTCAAAATTAACCATTTTTACAGTATAGCAATGTTGATTCATATGTCAAAATTAACCATTTTAACAGCATAGCAATGTTGATTCATGTGTCAAAATTAACCAGTTTTACAGTATAGCAATGTTGATTCATATGTCAAAATTAACCATTTTAACAGCATAGCATTGTTGACTCGTGTGTCAAAATTAACCAATTATACAGCATAGCAATGTTGATTCATATGTCAAAATTAACCAGTTTTACAGCATAGCAATGTTGATTCATATGTCAAAATTAACCATTTTTACAGCATAGCAATGTTGATTCATATGTCAAAATTAACCATTTTTAGCTCGACTATTCGCAGAATAATCGAGCTAATGCAGTCACCCATTTGTCGGCGTCGGCGTCGGCGTCCCTGTGGTTAAGTTTTTGTATGTAAGCTGGTATCTCCATAACTACTGAAGGGAATGGATTGAAACTTCACACACTTGTTCTCTGTGATTATCTAAGATGATTGGCACAAGTCCCATAACTCTGAATTGTTTTATTTCATAATTATGCCCCTTTTTCGACTTAGAAAATCTTGGTTAAGTTTTTGTATGTAAGCTGGTATCTCCATAACTACTGAAGGGAATGGATTGAAACTTCACACACTTGTTCTCTGTGATTATCTAAGATGATTGGCACAAGTCCCATAACTCTGATTTGCTTTTTTACATAATTATGCCCCTTTTTCGACTTAGAAATTCTTGGTTAAGTTTTTGCGTGTAAGCTGGTATCTCCATAACTACTGAAGGGAATGGATTGAAACTTCACACACTTGTTCTCTGTGATTATCTTAGATAATTGGCACAAGTCCCATAACTCTGATTTGCTTTTTTACATAATTATGCCCCTTTTTTGACTTAGAAATTCTTGGTTAAGTTTTTGCATGTAAGCTGGTATCTCCATAACTACTGAAGGTAATGGATTGAAACTTCACACACTTGTTCTCTCTGATTATCTTAGATGATTGGCACAAGTCCCATAACTCGGATTTGCTTTTTAACTTAATTATGCCCCTTTTTCGACTTAGAAATTTTTGGTTAAGTTTTTGCGTGTAAGCTGGTATCTCCATAACTACTGAAGGGAATGGATTGAAACTTCACACACTTGTTCTCTCTGATTATCTTAGATGATTGGCACAAGTCCCATAACTCAGATTTGCTTTTTAACATAATTATGCCCCTTTTTCGACTTAGAAATTTTTGGTTAAGTTTTTGCGTGTAAGCTGGTATCTCCATAACTACTGAAGGGAATGGATTGAAACTTCACACACTTGTTCTCTCTGATTATCTTAGATGATTGGCACAAGTCCCATAACTCGGATTTGCTTTTTAACATAATTATGCCCCTTTTTCGACTTAGAAATTTTTGGTTAAGTTTTTGCGTGTAAGCTGGTATCTCCATAACTACTGAAGGGAATGGATTGAAACTTCACACACTTGGTCTCTGTGATTATCTAAGGAGATTGGTACAAGTCCCATAACTCTGAATTGTTTTATTTCATAATTATGCCCCTTTTTCGACTTAGAAAATCTTGGTTAAGTTTTTGTATGTAAGCTTGTATCTCCATAACTACTGAAGGGAATGTATTGAAACTTGAAGAGTTTGTACCTTTTCGGACAATTTTATGTATTCATATAGGTAAGCATTATTATACTCAATGAAACACCCTTGTGACAAATTTTTGAATAGTCGAGCTTTACTGTCCTCCGACAGTTCTTGTTACAGCATAGCAATGTTGATTCATATGTCAAAATTAACGATTTTTACAGCATAGCATTGTTGACTCATGTGTCAAAATTAACCAATTATACAGCATAGCAATGTTGATTCATATGTCAAAATTAACCAGTTTTACAGCATAGCAATGTTGATTCATATGTCAAAATTAACCATTTTTACAGCATAGCAATGTTGATTCATATGTCAAAATTAACCATTTTTACAGCATAGCAATGTTGATTCATGTGTCAAAATTAACCATTTTTACAGCATAGCATTGTTGACTCATGTGTCAAAATTAACCAATTATACAGCATAGCAATGTTGATTCATGTGTCAAAACTAACCAATTATACAGCATAGCAATGTTGATTCATGTGTCAAAACTAACCAATTATACAGCATAGTAATGTTGATTCATGTGTTAAAATTAACCATTTTTACAGCATCATGAACATTTTTTATCAGAAATACAAGTATATGTTTTAACAAATTTAACAACAGGGTAATCATTCCTTTCATGCTATTCATTCATGGTTGATATAGGTTTATTTGGCAAATAGAAAAAAGGAGAGCACAATGAGGTATCCATTTTAAGTTGTTGCTGAACTGACTATAAAGTTGGCAAATACTTTCTAAGAACAGGTACAAAATCTATAACAGAACTAGATGTTTTTTAATTAAAACAAGTAAACATAATGTATTCCTGAATTAATATACTAGTCATGTATATGATAATACTTTTGAATTTAATTTTAGATGGGTTTTCCCAGGCTGGTTTGTATTTTACAACATTATATGACACACATTAAAGGATATTGTGTGGTTGCACTCGCAGTGTGTTGTTAGACAAATGGTCCACTTCAGTACCTATTTTACATCAATCTCTTGATTAAGGCTTAATAGACTTATTAGTATGATTGGCCATTGAGGCATTTTCAGGATGGATAATTTATTGTTGATGAACATTGATGACTTCTTAACCTTATAAACAATGATGAAATATTAACATACTGTCATTAATGTTGATTACAGGTGTATTACAGGTGTATTGTTGCCTAATTAGGCTGTAATGTAATTGTTTGTTTCTGGTCTTTTACAAGTTTTCACAGTGTTCAAATGTTTGTTTGTCCAAATAGAGATTGATAGAGGAAATGAAAATGTACATGGAACCCAGAGGGTAGGGGGCAGTGATTATGTGTTTTTCCTATTTAAATGCCATAATTTGACAATAAGAAGTTTCAAATTGTTAGTATTAGGCTTTAGTCTATCACAGGTTTTTAGTGGTTTACTTTAGAATCACTGACAGATGAAGGTCTTGAAACATTTTTTTTTGCTTTTGCCTTTATGACAACTCTGTAATTATTTGCAATGAGTTTTCCTAATTTTCCCGAGAATTTAAAGAGGGAAGGGTACAAGTGTTCTGATTTTATGAGAAGAAGGATACACAATTCACATGTTTGCATATTTTTTTACAAGGAATAAGTTTATTTTAGTTTAAACATTTTTTATTTTCAAGTCTGCTTGTGAAACAAATCTAAACAACTTTAATCATTATATATTGCAAAGACTTTATTCATGAGTGCAGTGAAAATATGATTTTTTATATTCTTTCATAAAAAGTAATACACACATGTATATAAATGACATAATTACTGTTATTTTAATTTTTATTAGTATAAAAAAACTTGTGTAGATGTATGGGAATGGGTAGCACAAGTGGAATACAGCGTAATTTGTTTACTATTCAATAATATCTTATATTAGTAATTGATATGTATATTTCTTGACATAGTAAAATTTTTTAACTTTCTAACTATAAAGTACATATCTATACTTCAACATTAGTATTTTATAAAGAATGGTATGTTATTATTATTTACTATAACTAATTTAACTAACTTGTAATCAACTCCTGTGGCAAAGAAAACTTTCATAGAGCCAGCTTTTATATCTAAAGTCAAAGGTGGTTATATTCTGAGCTCATTAATCTTTATTATTTTAGTATTAAAATCTCTTGAATTAACAATTTACAGTTGAAATGTATTATTAGAACTGTTACTAAATGTATAAATGAGTGAACAAACATTGTAATAAATATTTAATGAAATATTTTTCATGGAGTACAGACATTCAACTTTAATATTAAACAGCCACACCTGTAATACAAACTTTGAAATTGATTTTTTTTTTCAAAGTGTGATAAATTATATTATATTTTTGGTATCTATGACAACTATTTATTATTTGATATAGATCAACAGAAGTTATCTGATGATGATATGGACCTGAAAGGTATAGGAATTGTGCGTGCAGCACCCGTTGGTGATGATGGTAACATGCCAGATGCTAGTAATGATCGGGTATAAATCTATAACTTTATTGCCATGACAATTCATGTATGACAAATGAATGAGATAAACAACTAAACAATCAAAAAATGAATTGATGGAATGAACAAATAAACAATAAGTAGATATGGTATTTCAATACAATAAAATGAACTTTCTTTGTATCTGGTGTATATATAGATAGATTTAGGGACTGATGGCCCGGTAATTAAAATGTCTACCTCTCAACCAACAGATTGTGTGTTGATTTATAAACTATGCTCAAATTTGATTTTAGAAACATATTAAAAATTATTGCTACAGTCAGTCTCACAAGATATGTTAAGTTTAAAATTATACAATTTAAAAATTAGACATGATCACAATAGGAATATATAGGGTCATTATAATTATACCAACTAATAAGTTGACCTGCAATAAGAAAAGCAGCTTCCTATACACAGCTTTTTCTTTCTTTTATTCAAATGTGACATATTCAGTAAGAATTTCATAAATTTCAATAAATTTCTGTGATAAAGATATTTTAGTCAAGGATGAGTATAAAGAATATCTTTAAAGCATACTGGAATATAACAACCATGTGTCTTCCCTGTAACACAGGAAGCATGGATAGAGTGGCTGTACAATCAAACTAGAATAAGAAATAAGTAAATAAATTCATATATTGGAAGTGTGCAGTATATAAACAAGTCTAATTCCTGTTATCTCAAGAAATGTTAATTTAAAATATATAGAATCAGCAGTAAGGTACAGTAATTGGAAGTAATTCTTGCTTGTAATGGCAAGACAGGGTAAACATTGAATTGTATAAGCTTGCAAGACAGGTAACAGTGATTTATATACTATTAAGTGATTAATATGTTATATTTTTGTTCCTTATAGCCAATGCCAGCTCCTACACCCCTACCTCTGAGTGAACTCGCACCTTTACCATGTGAAGATGACTTATTTGGTAAGTAAAGTTTTCTTTTACTTTACTAACACTTGTTTTCTTATTTCATTGAGAAATATTTTCAAAGCTTTAGAGCAAAAGCTAATATAGCTTTAAATAATTGAAGTATCTTAGTAAAAAGAAAGTGATTTAATTTTATATAAAAAGTACAAGACAATCCTGATGAATTGTTTCATGCAGGAAGAGAAAGGATTGATGATACATAACACCCTACATTGTGATGACATCATTAATGATGTCATATATCACACCCTACATTATGATGACATCATTAATGATGTCATACATAACAACCTACATTGTGATGACATCATTATTGATGTCATATTTAACACCCTACATTGTGATGACATCATTAATGATGTCATATATCACACCCTACATTATGATGACATCATTAATGATGTCATATATCACACCCTACATTGTGATGACATCATTAATGATGTCATATATCACACCCTACATTGTGATGACATCATTAATGATGTCATATATCACACCCTACATTATGATGACATCATTAATGATGTCATATATCACACCCTACATTATGATGACATCATTATTGATGTCATATTTAACACCTTACATTGTAATGACATCAATAATGATGTCATAATTGATGTTTTAACTGTATATAACTTTATAAAAATTATTAAATTTTATATATTTTTGTCAGTATCCCAACAATAAAACTTTCTTTCACTCATTATAATTATATAGCTTGATTGAGAAACAAATTACTTCATCTTGTATTAATCACTATAGTAGTGTATACCTGGATAGAGAAGCAGACACTTTTGTTGTCCTCATTGACACTCATTTATATCAAAACAAATATGATGATAGAATAGTTTTGATCTTGTTTCAGGTGACATATCTCAGTTGAAGGAACAATATAAGAAGGATCGGGAAGAATTTGAGCGACAACAAGGCCTCAATAAAATCCGACAAGAACAAGGCCTCCAAGAAAAACTGGCTGCAAGACGACACAAGAAGAAATGTTAAAACAGTTGTTCTGCTTATATGTATCACAAAATTGACAAATCAGTTATTAAATTGCAAACAGTTCAGCTAACTAAATAACAGTTAATAAAGTAAATAACAAAAGTGACCAATCTGAAACAAACAATACATTTAATCAAATGACATTAATTTACTTAAAATTTAAAGGTCACAAATAGTTCATTAAATCAAATGACAGTAAACAGTACATAATGCTTAGAATTACTTCAATGCTAAAAAAAAATGCTTAAAAGAAAAGTCTTTGACCTAATTAACCAGTAAGTATTTTTTTATCAACAGTTATTGACCAGTAGGAATTAAAGACATTTTTCTTTAATCAGTAAATTGCATATTATGAACCAATTAAAATGATTCCTGATGAATGAAGTAATATAATGGAAGAGTTTTGCACATATACAGATTTATGATACACTTTTTATTTTGTTGTGCTGTGTTTTAAATTATATTTTAATAAGTAAATATTACAGTGTGTCAAAATTTATCTAAAATTAATATGAACAGTTCCAAAGTCAAAGCAAGCAAAGTTCATTATCTAATTTTTTAAGTGTAATGGTTTAACAATGTTATATAACATAAAATTGTTAAAATTGAGTGTATTTTATACTGTGTTTTACAAGTTAAATATGACTTACAGCCTACTCATTTGTAGAGAAACAAACACTCTATTATTGTATCAATAGAATTGAATATATCAACATGTACCTCATTTCTTTTACACAACATAAAATGTATCATTTATACATTAACATGCAGACAATAGAAAATTGGCTTTATTCACCAGTATTATCAAGGAAGCATTGTTCAAATGTTGTTTGTCTTTAAAAATTATTTTAGATATGAGTACAATGTAATAGACTTACACTGGAATTAAGGAATATCTAGGATTTTCCCAGCTAATCAAGGGGTATAAACAAACTGTTACAGTTATAGCTTTTAAAAAAAAAAAGTGCAACAAGTTAACTTATCTATTGTGAACGGTAGTGCACCATGACGCTGCAGTAATAAATGTTTGTTTGTACCGCAGGATTAGCTTGGAAAAACCCAGATTAGCCAAGTTCTGGACTACAACTATTATTGAAAATTTTCAAGACATGACATGTTTTTGTTTTTGTTTTTTGATATTTTTAAACCTTGTCCTTTCAAATTTTGGTACGACGTTCTTTTTGAGAATATTTCTCCTTACAAAAATTCCGTCCCAGTTTCATGTATATTTACACCTCATATTTTTTTTATATTTATTTATTGTGATAAACATTTTAATGTGGTCTTGTTATATTGGACAAAGTTATGACTTTTTACAGTCACTTGTATATACAGTTTATATTGTGTTAACATCAGTATTTTATTCATTTTATCCTCTACTTTTGAACACAAATATTTCAGCATCATGTTTGAGTGTCTTAAAGAAATTTGTTTATTCTGTAACTTTTGTAAAGATTGTTTACTCTATTACTTTTGCAAAGATTTGTTTACTCTGTTACTTTTGTGAATATCTCTAACATTGCCCTCTAAAAAATTGCAGCACTGACTAATTTATGTTGTATTGTTGAAGGGCAGTTTTTATCATTGTTATAAATGTAATTATTGCATCTTTTTGCTCATGGGTCATCCTTGAACATAAAAGTATTGTATATTCAATTTTAAATTTAATAAATATTCAATATATTTCTATATTAATTTAGCTTATACATATTAGGAACATAATTTAACAATTACAAGATAAACAAATATCTGTATATTAGTAAAAATTAAAAATTGATAATTATGTTTATATATAGAAAAAGATAATAATTGGAAGAAATGATTACACAAAAGAAAAATTAAAGGAGAGAAAAATCTGTGCAATAGCAGGTTTTGGAGAGGCAATGTTTATATTTTTTGTTTGTTTTTGATTATGTTAATCAATATGATGTTTACATAAAATTGTATGATTTTCACAGAGTCAGGTTGGCAAGGAAAATTTCAAAAATTGTACAAATAATCACGGGAGTAAGACATGTGAGAAAAGTATTTTGTGTTTCAATTCAAATTGATTACCTTCTTGCATTGTTTAGAAAGCACACATTGATATATGTTAACAGTTTTGTATATATATTTTTTCTGCAGGGTTGGGGACATATACATTATTTCAACAAATTATCCAACATTTACCAGTAGTTAACGACCAGTCTGAAAATACTGCTCTCTCACTTTTAGATGCAGCAGATCAGGGCCTTTGTTTAACAGACTCTGGCTTGAACCTTGTCAAACAAACTTATTGCTCAAATATTTAAATTCATTACTCAGTAAATGCAAGTCACTTGATCTAGTTTTAGTTGATATAGTACTGCACCTTTTTTATAATCATTTTATTGTGAACATAATCTCATTTATATACCATTGTGTAAAAGATGTGTCAAATTAAGACTCTTTCATTTTATAAAAGGCACCTTTTCAGACATGATAATACAAAAATTACAATGTTTTAAGAAGAAAAGTGTTGAAGGTAATATTGAGGTTAAGTTTAATCATGCTGATTTTCTCTTTCAAAAGAACAGTGTTGTAGAAGCTTTTTTAGGCATTGTATTTTGCTACAAGAAGAATTGGAAAATTTATATCTTTCAAGACCTGAGGTCCAGCATAATATGTATTTTCCCAAGCTGAGAGTATCAAAATACATGGCCTTCAGAAAGCTAGTACTATTTATCTTTTTATTATATATCTGCTCATTTTAAGACAAAAAGAGTTTCAATTCACTGAACTTCTATAAATTGTTTCAGGAACAGAAATATAGCTGTGAAAAAATAAAAATAATGATGGATGAATACATTTTTGTTTGCAAAAAAGACCACGCTCTTAGTAGTACAAAATGCCACGAAATGTACAGCAAGACAGGAACAAGCGAAGATAACTTGTTTGACAGTGATTTTCACTAATGTTATAATAGATTCCTCTATTTGTTGAATAGTTTTGGCTATTCATGATTTAGTAGTACATTTGGAATAGAAATTTATAGGTATATAATAAAGAACTTTGTCACTCTAGTTTGTATCTACCTTTCTTCTGTGTAATAAATGTGGTTATCATTATATTGATGTTGTTGTTTTTAGCTTGCCAGAGAGGGTGGGGGGTGAGAGTGCGAAAAACAGAGCATTCAGAAATAAGGTATCTGGCATGAAGTGTTTGGTATAAGTTATTCTTTTACATTTGTCTTCGCTAACAAGGTAGATGTAAAACATTTTATTATCTCAAGAACATGCATGGAAGTCTACGCATACTTGAATGTAAGTCTCTGTTGTTAAGACTTTTGATTCAAATTTACATGTATCAGTAATTGTCACAAGCAGACTTTTGATTCAAATTTACATGTATTAGTAATTGTCACAAGCAAGTGGGGATTTTCCGACCGTTAAACAATTACTGTTTAGTCCCAACAAGAAATGCAAATATGACGAGGTGCAAACTACCTTCAATAGGAGATATAACAAATTGAACAAGGCATAACAAATGACTAGGGTTTCTAATAATACTTTTTTGAATTTATAAAATTTTTCAGTCGGCCGAAAGTATGACCTATCTTATTCTTATTATCAGATAAGTGGATACAATAACAATTTCACAACATAGTTGTTAACAAAAGAGCACATGTCAATGTTTGTGGTTAAATCTATTGTTATTCAAATAATAGGTCAGAGTATGGATCTATCAATTGGTGCCAAAATTAAAGTAAACCATATGAACATGAACACCCATAAACAAGACAATATAGAGGATATTTGTTTAGTTCAGTGTACCGGTAAGATCAGAATATATATTTCACAGAGTGTGTTCTGAATTTTGGTGCATAAGAGACTGCTGAATATCTTATCCCTTTTTGATTAATTCAGTATTGAAAGACACTGATGGAATATCCTTTTCATTACACAAACCAAAATAAGTACTTGAAGTACTGAAATCTGTCTATGGCCTCCCTTGCATTTCATACATGTTTATGTGGAGCACATCTCTTGCATCAACTGGAGGGATATAAAAATAACAACTTCTTACAAGGTGTTTAAAGCAAATTTAATGACTCAGTCAAATGTTTTGATAATAACTGACAATATGGTTTACAAGCAAATGATGCTTTATTAAGCTCATTATTTACATACTATATACACATGTATAATCTAAAATTAGCAATAAGCTTTGGCTTTTTATAGCAATTAAGATACACAAGAAATTACTTCCCTTTCTTTCTTTGTAGAATGGAATGAAAAAATAATATCTTCAGATTAGGAGCTTAAGTTAGAATTCTTTGAAAAATAAATGATTAAATACTTAAATATCAAAGAAACAAAGGGAGATCACTCTTACAGCAAAATAATCTACCATGGCAAAATGCAAGCATGAAAGAAACCAGTCAAATCAATATAATGCTATAAAACAGGAAATTTGTCCTTTTTTTTCCCCTCAATTCATTCAAAAGTTTTATAAAAAGAAACAAGGAAATAAAGAAAATATGCACAGATCATGAGCTAAATAAAACCTCATATAAATGATGAAATATTAATTAGCTTGAATTTTTAGTTGTTTCAAAACAGCACCCCGCACAAATTTAGTGATTTTTTTTTCATATAAAATTTGTATTAATTCTGAGATAATCTTACAGAAAAAAAACATTAACCGATAATTAAAGCTCATGTTTGAAGAGCACAAGTTAAGGTGTGACATTTTGAAATTCTTCACATACATTTATATTCATTCACTTAATCTCACATTTTGGCTAAATCAGTTACCAGTATTGTAACAAACCAGTTTGAACACCAATACATTGTTGTTGCCAGATTAATAAAAAATATTTTAAAATTAAAATCCTTCAATTCAAGACATTTCAAAATTCCATGTACAATAGTGATGGTACAGTTTAGACCACTAGAGCAGGGAATATTACAGAAATTTTAAGGACATTACAATCATCAATCACACTTTAATATTACTAGCACTAGCATCAAATACCTCATCAATATCAATGTATTTAACAAAAAAATCATTTTAAAACAAGCTAACAGACAACAAAGTGTCACATGATCAGGTCATGTGACGTAATACTATAAATAGCTCAGGCCATGATGTAAAAATAATACATATAGCTTTACAAAAAGCCTATAAAGCCTACAGAAGCTGAGAAAATGATAATTTATCTAACAAATGTCTACAATCATGATTAAATATAAAATCAACTGCCAAATTATTTCTGACAAACAAATTAACCCTATCCATATAATGTGTTTCTCATTTTCCTACGATGACAAATCTCATGGTTCAGTATTTGTTACATTTTATTAAAGGTAGTGATCTTGATCTGAGTCTTGTATTTGACTTGAGCAGATTTTTCAAAAGCACCCTGCATGATCCATTCTAGTAAATTCTATGAGAGTCATATACAAGATTATAAAACTCCCTATAATAACATATTTACATGTATACCTGTACACTGAATAGCCATATAAATTTTTGTCTGTTGCATCATATTTGTGAATGTGATACAGGTGTATAATATAAACACTTCTAGATCAGTTTCTTTAATAGTCTCCCTGTCATTTAATACGTTTAATGTTACTATAACAAGTGGGTAGCAATTTTCTTCTTTTCTGTATGCTTAACAAAGAGCTCCCTCACAAACTACCATTTGTAGCAATCTGATGTACAATTTTTGTTAGGTTTCAAAATTTTGGGACAGGAAGATCCCTAGATAACAAACTCGGCCCTCTGAGGTAAAATGGGAAAATAAGACCCCAGAAGCTTCTCAGACACAAACAGGGATCACCAAAAGTCTTAACAAGTCTGTAATAGAGACTAGGAAGGTATATGAACAATTCATAGGAACATGAGAAACATGTATACATTATATGGATAATGTTGTAAATTTGAAAGTGAACTTAAATAATGCACTTGACAGTATAAAATTGTAAAAATTACTCTGAAAAAATGTTCAACCGGGATTTTATTGTTTTTTTCATTGTTTCACCCATGTTGACATATAACATACTGTTATAGTCATATCACAATTATATAATTTAACAATCATTATCTAGTTAGTCTACAATATGTGACAACATCAATAGTAAAATTCCACATATTTATTATATAACATATCTAATTTTCTACTCATTGTTGAGAGCAGATACTTCATTTTTTAATGAGATACAAAAATGTATACCTTCACATTACTGCCCACATATCTTACATTACAGAGTACACTTTGCTTTCCATTTAGGAAAAAAAAATGTTATATTATGAATACATGTATACGAAACCTATGTTACCTCAAGGTGATTTCATCAAATAATTTCACATGTTTTGTATTGTGAATTTCTGTATATAAAATCTCAGGTATCTTTAGAATATACATGTATATCATATATTTACTTGTAACAAAGTAAACAGATGTGTTGGTGAAAGTTTGAAAATAATGAGCAGTGAAATATTTTATATATTTTCTCTTCCAAATAAGATATTTTTCATATTGATCATGATAAAAACAGCGCAGGTGTCTATATTGAGATAATATTCCATTGATGGGGAAGATTATATCCCCAAAGAAGAATATATACAGCAAAGTCTATACAATTTATGCCTACATAAAAATAGAACACATTTAGCATGTACATGTATAATAAACTTTGGAGAATTACAAAAACTAAACAATATCATATACAATGTACATGATCCGAGAGAAAAACTTATGACTCTGTTAACTACTTAGTTTAACCCTACAGAATATAAGAATATAGAATACAAGTAGAATTATAAAGACAGGACAGCCTTTACCAGTATAGAGACAGGGACAGTCTTCAAACCTTAACAGTTTGGCCAGATTCTTTACTGTTTGAATCATTGATGTGAAATTTCTTAGTCAATGAACAATGTCAGAAGACCATTTCACAGATGCAGCATGGTGACAATATCATGAACTAGAAGGATTGGTGAGAAACAGTTGTTTCAACACCTAGCCCTGTCATGTGACAGTTCATCACCTAGCCCTGTCATGTGATAGTTTATCACCTTGCCCTGTCATGTGACAGTTTATCACCTAGCCCTGTCATGTGACAGTTCATCACCTAGCCCTATCATGTGACAGTTTATCACCTTGCCCTGTCATGTGACAGTTTATCACCTTGCCCTGTCATGTGACAGTTCATCACCTAGCCCTGTCATGTGACAGTTTATCACCTAGCCCTGTCATGTGACAGTTTATCACCTTGCCCTGTCATGTGACAGTTCATCACCTAGCCCTATCATGTGACAGTTTATCACCTAGCCCTGTCATGTGACAGTTTATCACCTAGCCCTGTCATGTGACAGTTTATCACTGAGCCCTGTCAACCTAGCCCTGTCATGTGACAGTTTATCACCTAGCCCTGTCATGTGACAGTTTATCACCTAGCCCTGTCATGTGACAGTTTATCACATAGCCCTGTCATGTGATGGTATCTGATATATACTAGTAACCACTTTATCTACTATACATTATATAATGATAAAGTTTGATATAACCTGTACACTTAAATCTTTCCCTAACAATAAAAAGAATGCAGTAAAAAGAAATTGAATATAACTATAAAGTGATTTCACATTATACATGCACAAAAATATAGTATAAATGAACAATAGTGTATAATTATCAATAATCATCATCATAAAAAGTTATCACAATTTTTCCAACCAAGCAAGCAAAGCATCTATATATAATATTTATACAACACAATTATAGTCTACAATTTTTTATACAAACTATGACTTGATATCCTTGATTTATCAAACAATGAATTTCAGCTAAAATTCAATAATTCAGAGTTAAAGTTAAACCATTCAAACTGTCCAAAGACAGTTTATAAACACTACTTAACATCCCACCCTATGATTTTTGTTTGATTGGCTTTTACGTCACACCAACACAGAATAGGTCATTTGGCGACGTTCCAGCTTTACTGGTGGAGGAAGACCTCAGGTACCCTTCTGTGCATTATTTCAGGCACCAACAGGCACCTGAGTAGAATGACCGACGTTCCGTAAGCTAGCTGGATAGCTTCCTCACATGAAAGAATCCAAAGTCCCTGTCGGGATTCGAACCCACAGCGGTGAGGGGCAAGTGGTTTGAAGTAAACGACCTTAACCACTCGGCCACTGACGCCCCCCAACCCTATGAAAAAATATTACCACTACTCCTTACCCTAAGAAAAACTTATCATCCTTACCCCCTCCCCTGTATTCTTCAGAAATATGGATAACCCAACTTCTTCAGAAAAAGGGAAAACCAACTTCTTCATAAATAGGGAAAACCAACTTCTTTTGAAATAGGGAAAAACAAAACTTCTTCAGAAATAGGGAAAAAATGAAGCTTCTTCAGAAATAGGGAAACATACAGCTGCTTCAGCAATACGGTAAAATACTTGTATCTGAGGACAATATAACTTGAGATATGTGAGAGCTATTATTTCAATAATTGCAGACTATGAAACTTCATTTCATTTCAGTATATACAAAAATTTCAATAAGGACCAGAAATAATGTATTATGTCTTTGTATATCTATATCCCGATAAACTAGAAAACAAGAAAGATATTAAAGCTGGCTGCAATCAACCACATTTTGCACAACATATATCTTTTGTTTGTATCAGAAATAAAGGAAAATTGATTTTAAAGTAGCAAAAAAAACCCATTTTCAAAAGTGATGACAATAATGAAATTTGAAACATCATTACCTTAACATTTTAGAATCATTTTATGTGGTGAACTTACAACAGATATAGACTTTATTAAATGCTAGATTTATACATTTCTGTTGCAAGGAGAATCTTCTATTAACTTTACAACAAAAGCTGTCTTCATGTTTCTCTGTTTTGCTGATAACATTATGCATATCTCACAGAAACAATACATTGGACTATAATACAGACAGTTTAATGAAAATTTCCTCATTAGAAAGTATGAACATTAAGGGAGTGCTGACGTTAAATATATTTCATTTATCCAAAATAAACTTCTTTATCAATCACTATGCAGTCTACTTATTAGAATAACTAGAGCTACATACACACAGTATGAAAATAACAAGGCTAACACAAGTCTACTGTGATCAAGTAAGCAAATAATAAAGAGTTTGATTGGACGTGAAATATGTATTTTTAATCTTATACCATGTAATATATGTCTATACAGAATGTAAAATTTTACATCATTCACTCCCATTGTTATTTTTATTGTACAAAAAGGCTTTATAAACTCATATCAGGTTAAGAATTGCACTAAATATTAATTTTTAATTTGATACAAATATGTTGCTTCCCCCCTCACCAATATCTTTCCATGTTAAGGGCCCCAGCTGATCTACTTCCCTACCCTACTCCATATTGTTCCATTTGAAGTGGCCAAGTTGATCTACTTCCCCACCCCACTCCATATCGTTCCATTTTAAGTTGCAAAGTTGATGTATGTAAGGGTTACAAATGTTATCTAGGCTTGTAAACCTCAGTGAAGCTGTTTTAGGATCAACATTTATCCTTCTCAACAAGAAAACTCCTTTTCCAATTATTTCATATTTTAACATGCATATATTAATAAAGGTTGAGAATAAAATATTACATATTTATATACACTGAACAATTATGGCATGCTAATACATGATAATACATTTAATCAAATGAATAAAAATCTTCATTTCAGCATTCAAAATTCATTAACACAAAATAATAGGAGCACTATGATGATGATATATAACAAAATTCTTACATTCCCAACAAATAGATCTCATAAAAAATACAGAACTTTACTTCCCCAATCATATAATAATAGATAGAAAAAAAACAACAATGCTAACTGTATGAGTTCAAACAATATCATTCTCGACTTTTATAATTTAAGCAAAGTTTAAAAGACTAACAGTATGCTATACTATTTACCAAAGCCACAGCCATGATACACATTCATGATCTGTGACTGGTCTACCTGCCACGGCCAATAGTACACATGCTTTGTCAGTGGTCTATCTGCCACAGCCAATAGTACAGATGCTCTGTGACTGGTATACCTGCCACAGCCAATAGTACACATACTCTGTGACTGGTCTACCTGCCACAGTCAATAGTACACATGCTCTGTGACTGGTCTATCTGCCACAGCCAATAGTACACATGCTCTGTGACTGGTATACCTGCCACAGCCAACAGTACACATGCTCTGTGACTGGTCTACATACCACAGCCAATAGTACACATGCTCTGTGACTGGTCTACCTGCCACAGTCAATAGTACACATGCACTGTGACTGGTCTATCTGCCACAGCCAATAGTACACATGCTCTGTGACTGGTCTATCTGCCACAGCCAATAGTACACATACTCTGTGACTGGTCTACCTGCCACAGCCATTAGACACATGCTCAGTGACTGGTATACCTGCCACAGCCAATAGTACACATACTCTGTGACTGGTCTACCTGCCACAGCCAATAGTACACATGCTCTGTGACTGGTCTATCTGCCACAGCCAATAGTACACATACTCTGTGACTGGTCTACCTGCCACAGCCAATAGTACACATGCTCTGTGACTGCTCTATCTGCCACAGCCAATAGTACACATGCACTGTGACTGGTCTACCTGCCACAGTCAATAGTACACATGCTCTGTGACTAGTCTACCTGCCACAGTCAATAGTACACATGCTCTGTGACTGGTCTACCAGACACAGCCAATAGACATATGCTCTGTGTCTGGTCCACCTGAGACAGTAAATAGTACACATGCTCTGTGACTGGTCTACCTGCCACAGCTAATAAACAAATGTTCTGTGACTGTTCTGCCATAGTCAATAGTACACATGCTCTGTGACTGGTCTACCTGCCAGTCAATAGTACACATGCTCTGTGACTGCTCTATCTGCCAGTCAATAGTACACTTGCTCTGTGACTGGTCTACCTGACACAGCCAATAGACACATGCTCTGTGACTGGTCTACCTGCCACAGCCAATAGTACACATGCTCTGTGACTGGTCTACCAGACACAGCCAATAGACATATGCTCTGTGTCTGGTCCACCTGGGACAGTAAATAGTACACATGCTCTGTGACTGGTATACCTGCCACAGCTAATAAACAAATGTTCTGTGACTGTTCTAACTGCCATAGTTAATAGTACACATGCACAGTGACTGTTCTACCTGTCACAGCCAATAGTACACATGCTCTGTGACTGGTCTACCTGCCACAGCCAATAGTACACATGCTCAGTGACTGGTATACCTGCCACAGCCAATAGTACACATGCTCAGTGACTGGTCTACCTGCCACAGCCAATAGTACACATGCTCAGTGACTGGTATACCTGCCACAGCCAATAGTACACATGCTCTGTGACTGGTCTACCTGCCGCAGCCAATAGTACACATGCTCAGTGACTGGTCTACCTGCCACAGCTAATAGTACACATGCTTTGTGACTGGTCTATCTGCCACAGCCATTAGACACATGCTCAGTGACTGGTATACCTGCCACAGCCAATAGTACACATGCTTTGTGACTGGTATACCTGCCACAGCCAATAGTACACATGCTCTGTGACTGGTCTACCTGCCGCAGCCAATAGTACACATGCTCAGTGACTGGTCTACCTGCCACAGCTAATAGTACACATGCTTTGTGACTGGTATACCTGCCACAGCCATTAGACACATGCTCAGTGACTGGTATACCTGCCACAGCCAATAGTACACATGCTCTGTGATTGGTCTACCTGCCACAGCCAATAGTACACATGCTTTGTGAGTGGTTTACCTGCCACAGCCAATAGAACACATGCTCTGTGACTGGTCTACCTGCCACAGCCAATAGTACACATGCTCTGTGACTGGTCTACTTGCCACAGCCAATAGACATATGCTCTGAGACTGGTTACCTGCCACAGCCAATAGTACACATGCTTTGTGAGTGGTTTACCTACCACAGCCAATAGACATATGCTCTGAGACTGGTCTACCTGCCACAGCCAATAGTAAACATGCTCTGTTAATGGTCTAACTGTCTCAGCCAATATCATAGTAAAGTACCAAAGTTAGTAGATTTAAGGTACTTTCTCAATCTTTTAAAGAGAGATCCAGGGTTAATTAAAGTAGTCACAGGAGTTATCTGAACTTAATGTGAAACCTTAGAATGCAATAATGCATAAAACACAACTTTGTAAATACTTCTTTTAATGGCCCATTATAGTTATCCTTTATAGACATCTAGAATATATTATTTCTAAAATATTATTACAAACATTTTATCATTGATTTCAGACTTGTATCACTAAACTCTACAGGGTTTTATTCTTAGAAAAAAATCCTTACAATCTGTTCTTGTAAATTCATTTATTTCAGCATTGGGCTGGGACTTAAAATCTTGACCCTTACATATTAACAAATACAACTTGACACTTTTTTCATGAGAATCTCAAAGAGAACTCATTATTACCACTATTTATATGTAATGAACTACAGATACAAATCTCTACGATAGTAAAAACACATTATGGTATAGTGAAGTTTAAAACCATGATTGTACATGTACACATATGAATTCATGATCACAATATTGTCATAATTTGTATACAAATAATAAAAATGTACACATATATGTCAATTATCTCTAGTTTGTGTGTAAACTTTATAACACATTTGTGTAAACTTTTTAACACATTATGCACAGCATAAAGCTTATGAACATGCCGATTTTGAATTCTTATTCATCTATTTATGTGAAATGTCTGCCCAACATTTAAGGTTGATATTTTCATGACATACTGGAGCAGGGTAAGCCCGGTGACCCCATCTGTGTTAGAACTCTGTCCAACCATTGTAGAGGTCCATTCAAATGTATTTCTATCCAGCATGGTGTACTTGTTACTGTTTGTCTCCTGCAGTCATACAATGAAATACATCTGTCATAAGTTTATATGGTCAATTTAATGAAGTAACACACCTATATTCAGTGTTTATATGGTTTATTGAATGAAAAATCACCTATATTCAGTGTTTATATGGTCAATTTAATGAAGTAACACACCTATATTCAGTGTTTATATGGTCAATTTAATGAATTAACACACCTATATTAAGTGTTTATATGGTCAATTTTGACTCACCTATATTAAGTGTTTATATGGTCAATTTTGACTCACCTATATTCAGTGTTTATATGGTAAATTGAATGACGTTACTCACCTATATTCAGTGTATATATGGTAAATTGAATGAAGTTACTCACCTATATTCAGTGTATATATGGTAAATTGAATGACGTTACTCACCTATTTTCAGTGTATATATGGTAAATTTAATGAAGTGACTCACCTATATTAACAGAGCTCCAGATAATTTTTTTGGCCAAGGGGTTTTTACCCCTCAAAATTTAGAGTGAGGGGTAAAATGCAAATTCTGAAAAACTTAAGGGGTAAAATCTGTCAAAAAAGCATTTTGCATTTTTTATAAACAAATTAAACTTATTGGTGTGTTTGTTTGTTTGTTTATTTTCTTTTTTTAGAAAAACCTTTACAAATTAAATACTGATTTAATGTGAAACAATACAAAACATGCCATGTAAAGTCAGATTTCCAGAGTATACACAGTAAAATTATCAGGGCTTCCATTTTCAAAATTTGGAAGTCAAAGACTTCAAAATCTCTGATATTTGAAGTCACATTATATAGGTAAAGAAGGAAAAGTATTGATTTTCTTAAGTCACAGGCCAAATGAAGGAGTAAATGACTCCCAAACTTCCACTAGTGGAAGCCCTGAAATTATTTTATTTTCTAGGAGTCAATATTTTTATTTTTTTTATTTTTGTTGGCATGTACCTTATCATGTACTCCAGTTTGAACAATTATAGTTGGAATTAAAGAAACATAAAAAAGATTTTTTAAATCTTTCCTTAAAAAAAGTATTGGTCTGAGAGAAAATTGTCCGTAACTGTAGACTGGGTACTAAAATATTGAGTACAAAACTGCAAGTGAAAAACATGTTATTTTGTTCCAACAACAAAAGTTAAAGAAATTAAAATATATTTTTGTTTATATTGAGGCATTAGCATGTCAATATATGCCTAAACAAACTTAATACTGTGTTAACTCCTACAACGATTATCTGGCACAAATTTCATCAATAAATTCACAGGTTGATCTACGGGAGTTACCTCCCTTCTGTATTTCCTGCTACTTTCGTTTTTAACATGCGTTGTTGACAGTTTTCAATGCAATTAAATGGAAATATATTGTATTTTTATGCTCAAAACATTTTCTTTCTACATATCAAATGTTTACACTTCTATTCTTTCACGCATAAATTTTGAAACACGAGCGTATTTTCATTTTGTTGTGCGTAACTGTGACGCACGAATTTTGAAAGTGATGCGTATTTTAGATTTTCTATGCGTATTTTACGCTTATACGCACGCTATCTGGAGCTCTGTATTAAGTGTATACAGTAAAAACTCTGAAAACCGGACCCTGTCCGGACTTGACAAAAAGTCCGGTTTTCAGAGGATTCCGGTTGTCAGAGGTTTTACACATAGATAAAAGGAGATGACCATTACCAGGTATTTGAACATGTCACAAGTTGAGATTATGTTTAGATTTACATTAAAGTACACAGAAGGTTGACACTTTAAAATGCTGTCCGGTTTTCAGAGGATTTTTTATGCATGTTTAGCATTAGAAACCGTAGAAAAGCGTCCGGTTTTCGGAATTCAGAGGTTCCGGTATTCAGAGGATTTTTTTTCAATGAACATATAGGGAGAAAAAACGGGACTTTTAAAATGGTCCGGTTTTCAGAGGATTCCGGTTTTCAGAGGGTCCGGTTTTCAGAGTTTTTACTGTATATGGTAAATTGAATGAAGTAACTCACCTATATTCAGTGTATATATGGTAAATTGAATGACGTTACTCACCTATATTCAGTGTATATATGGTAAATTGAATGAAGTTACTCACCTATATTCAGTGTTAATATGGTTGAATTAAATGAAGTGACTCACCTATATTCAGTGTATATATGGTCAACTGAATGAAGTGACTCACCTATAATCAGTGTATATATGGTAAATTGAATGAAGTGACTCACCTATATTCAGTGTTTATATTGTTTATTGAATGAGGACTCACCTATATTCAGTGTATATATGGTTAATTGAATGAAGTTACTCACCTATATTCAGTGTATATATGGTAAATTAAATGAAGTGACTCACCTATATTCAGTGTATATATGGTAAATTGAATGAAGTGACTCACCTATGATCAGTGTTTATATTGTTTATTGAATGAGGACTCGCCTATATTCAGTGTTTATATGGTTTATTGAATGAAAACACACCTATGTTCAGTGTTTATATGGTAAATTGAATGAAATTACTCACCTATATTCAGTGTATATATGGTAAATTGAATGAAGTTACTCACCTATATTCAGTGTATATATGGTAAATTAAATAACGTTACTCACCTATATTCAGTGTATATATGGTAAATTGAATGAAGTTTCTCACCTATATTCAGTGTATATATGGTAAATTGAATGACGTTACTCACCTATATTCAGTGTATATATGGTAAATTAAATGAAGTGACTCACCTATATTCAGTGTATATATGGTAAATTGAATGACGTTACTCACCTATATTCAGTGTATATATGGTAAATTGAATGACGTGACTCACCTATATTCAGTGTATATATGGTAAATTGAATGACGTTACTCACCTATATTCAGTGTATATATGGTAAATTGAATGACATTACTTACCTATATTCAGTGTATATATGGTAAATTGAATGACGTTACTCACCTATATTCAGTGTATATATGGTAAATTGAATGACGTTACTCACCTATATTCAGTGTATACATGATCAATTGAATGACTTTACTCACCTATATTCAGCTCCCCAACCTTTGACAAAGCTCATACGTATAGTACACATTCTAGTTAACTGGTATACAGATTCAAATCCTTGATTTACAGACTGGGCAAGTAGTGCCGCAAACTCTTGATTGTTAAAAATCTTCAAATTACACCCTGGAATGTAAACAAACATTTTTGGTGCCAATATTTACATTTTGTCAGGGAACCTTTAAATATTTTCTTTTCTTACAATTCTTTTTCCACAGAGTAAATGCTGCCAACAATATAAAATGTATATCACAGTCAATTGCATGCTGGTTTTACAGCTGTATATATACAAGGAATTTTAATCATTTTAACAAAGCTAGTGCTATGATAGATTTGTTTTCGTGATATATTGAGGGATAGTGGTGGTATGGGCTTTGCATATTGCCTTGTTCAGGTGAACATTTGAGCCAAGTTTGAAGAAAATCCTTCAAAGGGTAAAGGAACAGAACAGAACAGAATATTTTATTGGCATTAAATACAAACAAACAATATTTAAAGGACAATAAGGGAACCAGTCACTTACCAGGTGGTATCTTACATACTGTGGCCGGGTGCCATCCATACCTCTGGTTACAATTAGGGCTTTGAACAAATACAGCACTTTCACTTAGACATTCTGCAAATACTTCTCCTCCAATGTAATATAGCCTTACCCCTTTACCTGAAAATATTTGTGTTTTATATATATTGTGAATAAATTGTGTCACAGCAAATGTAGTTTTACTGAAATATAGTTGACACTCGTTATCTCAATGTCACCGGGAACATTGTGGAGATTAACATATAAGGGTTTGAATAAAACAAAAACAGGATTGTTTCCTCAAAAACAGGAATGTTTACTTGAAATTTCTTCATACTCTTTTAACAATGACAAATTAAGGATGGTGTTTTTTTTCTGTTTTCTTCAGGCTATTATCTTATTATTTTACAAGATATTCATTATGCAGCAAACCTCTATAAGCGGATGTTTACCAGGGTAAATAAGAATATGTAGTGAAATTGTATTATAAACACACAAAGAGATAATTACTCGGTTATACACCACTAAAATAAAAACCTTATGTTTTTAGCTAAAATTATTTATTCAGCATGTATTTGTTTCACATAAGGCAAGTTATCATTTTACTGGATTCAGTCCCTCTATTGGACAGGACTGTGTACCTGAATTTTTTCCGACTTTGATAAATTTGTTGCGGTTATAAAATGTCAATATAAACAGGCAATCTTTAAAAGATGCTTGTATGATATTTAGAACATTAAAAGGTATTTCTATATTTTTTTCATCTTACTTGTCTCAATTATACTTATTCATCTAAACTGTATTTAACACTAAGCTTTTGTAAAAGTTTCTTATTTCTATATCATGTTTAATTTGATACCTTCACTAAATGATGTTATATTTTTGTGGAATTGATGATTGGAATCCAGTATCAACATAGCTTTACCATTTCAAATCAATTGGCCACTGAGATTCTTTAAAGTATATAAAATATGATAATTTAATGCCTCTTTCATTTATTAGAAGATCATTTACCTATATGCCTTCTAGTCATTTCTACTTGCTGTGTTCTATTTATATTTGACAACAACCCTAGACAAAATCTCTCCGAGTTTGAAGGATCTGTGAATCCATCAACTGTCAGTGAAGGCTGTGATGCATGAAATGTCTCGCCAACACGTGTGTTTAACTCGTAGTAGGCAATTGAACACCAGTATGTCGGTTCTTTATATGTGACTGGCTGGGCATCGAGGGGCGGGCTTGGTGACATATCAACCCCTTCTGTAAACAAAACTTTAATTAATACAACATCTCTTTCATTTAGTATACCATAAAATATGATAGTTCTTTACTTATAATATGAAGAGCCTAATAGTTTACATGTCTATCTCTAAGCCAGGACATTGATGGCTTATGTCCTACTTGGTTTAAAATCGCATTTTCTCATTTGAAATTCTGAATTCTGCTTTTATGACATCAGTCTCTGGCAAGAATAATACAGATTTATTCAATGAGTCTAATAAACAATGTATTGAACCTACATCAATATAATATTCTATTTATCACATATCCAAAATATGAGTTTACAGAGAAAAAGATTTTTTCATTGATGCCCCTATACTACATTAGTGCATAACTCAGACGATCATGTGCAGCAATTTTTCTGAATGTTGTATGAAGATTATAACATTGGGACCCTAAGTGATGTCTACAATCACACATTCAGAAAGCAAATTGTCTTCAACACCATCAGTCAACATATCTAACAACTGCAACCTATTGAGGAGAAAGGAAACTGAATTGAGCGATCTGAACCATAAAAATATGGAAGCTCTTTTCAACATAGTCCGAGGACCCTCCCTGAACTACTTGGTCAAAGACACCCTCCAGTGTTTGGTCACTATCAGCCCTAGAAAGATAGAACTTACCCATGCCTTGGTTATCTGTGTTATCCCCATCTTCACTAATATATCCTGGTGGAGGCGTGTCTGAAAATATACACCATAAACAATATAACATTAGGTATTTTCAATCTAAACTTGGCATGGCTCCGGTAATCATAATACGCAACATAATTATATGCCTTATACCTCCGCCGGGTTACATTCTCCCCTGATTTTTGGTCTAGTCATCAGATCTCCTGTTGTGGTATCAAACGTACTACCCTGATATACAAAAATACAGCCAGCTAAAAATTCAAATCATCAATATTATCAATAAACATAAATCAATACACTTAAGATTATAAGCATATTAAAATCTTTATATCAACTAAGATGATGTCTCCATAAAAACAGCAGGGTTAATTTTTATAACATATTCTTCAAAATTTTGATTTCTTTCAACTGCTTTCATGAAGACATGACACATTCTGTCAAGCAGTGTTCAGGCACTTAACCAATGACAACATCCGAATAATTAATGCAAAGCAGCCATGATCTATCTATTTTGTAGGACTGTCAGTGTTTTGTCTTTGAAGTTGATTGAAGAACTGAATAATAGATGTAGATATAAAAGAATACTGATCTGAGGCAAGTTACAAATGTTTAACTCAAAGAACCGTCTTCATTCTCATAGTATCAAGAGTTTGTGTAGTATAATATAGTGGAAAAATTAAATTAGTTCCTAAAATAACTGAAACAAGAGCACTCCATGCAATGTTATTGCTCATCTGTTAAAAGTTCTAAATCAGAAATGGGCCTGAGGGGCAATTACCTCCTAAAATATTGCTCTTGTCTAATAACTGCACCATATCAGGATAAGCAAGAGTTTCATGTTGATAACATTTAATATAATGGGATACATTAAAGGTTTTTAGGATAACACAGCGATTGTAATAGCTAGCTTGACTTTTCCGCTAAAAATCACAAATTTGATGTACAAAATAATGTTTTATTTCAGATGTACCATTATTTAGAGTAAAAAAAAAATAATTAAAAAAATCTTATTTGATCTTCCAGCAGGAATGTTTCATTACGTACTGTGACAGTTAAATAAACCATCAAGACAACATAGGCACAGAGTTTATCCAGGAATTCTGGATGACAGAACCAAACTAATGGACACATTGCAGCAATTTTCACTAATTTCTGGTAATTTTCTAAATGAGAGACTAACCACTGACAACTCTTTATAGATCAAAAGATTACAAAAGACAACACCACACAGGTTTAAAAACAAAGTCCATCTATTTTACCTTTCAATAAAAAGCTCAGAAATTATGATAATTAAAAAGAACCTTTCATCTTGAAAACCAAAACTGTTTATGATCAGTGAAGGAAAAGTATTTTATCTACTTAATCTAAGAGGAATCAGGTAGTGCTGTTTTGTATTAAAAAAATATTTCATTGCAACAGTGATATGTTATTCTTATAAAATGCATCAAGTTAACATGTTTTGCCCAGAAAGTTCCTCTTAATTTACCATACAAGTTAGAGTAAGACAGCATACTATCTGATGACAAGGATTTTATGTATTAAAACATTTAACAATGACATGCTGGTTTTATGATTGAAATAATCTCTTACAGTCTTATGGACAAAAACAAAAAAATGAGCCGTGTCACAACAAAACCAACATAGTGCGTTTGCTACCAGCATGGATCCTGACCAGCCTGCGCATCCGCGCAGTCTGATCAGGATCCATGCTGTTTGCTATCAGTTTCTCTTCTTGTTATAGGGTCTGTAAGCGAACAGCATGGATTCTGATCAGACTGCGCAGATGCGCAGGCTGGTCTGGATCCATGCTGGTCGCAATCCATTATGTTGGTTTTGTCGTGACGTGGCTCAAATGGATTTTTTGTGTGTTTGTGCAATATCATTGTAATGAGAATTATGATCTATCAGCACACCGCTTTATGATTGAAATAATATGTTTTATTGTTTATTTCCTAGTCATAGGTAATATAGTAACTAGAGAATATATCATTCTATTCCTGGCTTTAAAAACCAAGGAAATATGGCTATGATTTTTCAATGCAATGCTTAGAGAATTTCACCAAACCATTTACACTATTAACCTTTTTTATTTATATAAACTAAGTATGTTTTTATCTGCAGTGTTCTAGACAGAATGAGTCAGTAAATGTACGGAAATACATCTTTATTTCTTCCTAGTGAAACAACAAATAACAACTTGTTCATTTAAACTTTTTGAAAAACATACAAATGAGTTTGATACCAACGAGTTTGATAAAATCATGATGGTATAAAGGTAAAAGGTAAAATAATAGGTTATGGTAGCAAAGGTGAACTTATTTTCTGTATTTTAAGTACTGTAATAGAAAAGGGACAGTTCCATTAATAGCTACATGGCTCTGAGAGCAAAGGGAAGCTAAATTCCACTAGCAGTAAAGGTGAAATAGGCTTATAAGTCAGTTTATCTTTAGATTAAAGATGATAAAACAACAAACTCTATTTGTTTTTTCTAGGAAAATATTAATGTTGAACGCCAGATCATGCCCTGACATTATACAACAAGACACTGTAGTGATAGAACTAAATATACAAATAATTTTAAAATGCTGAGGATATGCACAACTAAACTTGGTACTGATCATTCCTGCAAAGTTTGGACGAAATTGGACATGTAGTTTTTAAGGAGTAGTCCGGACAAGTTTTGTGACAGACAGACGGACAGGCAGACAGATGACAGAGAAGAGACCCCCATATTCCAAACAAAATCCAACAAAAGCAGGACAAAGGTATAAGACGTAATCAACATAAAAAAGTCTAAACAACAAATCAACATGGAAAAAAACAATTTCAAAATAATTGAAACGTAAGTGACAAATCTATTTTCTATCTATGACACAATAAGTATTGCGTAAATACTGTTATTTTCTAAAAGCAGGTCAAAATACATGTCCTGTAAGTTAATCGATAAGACAAGTTTCTCAACTTATAGATATATCTACGCAGAGCTTTCTAAGTAAACAACAGTATTGGATTTTTTGCCTACTAAACCACATGTTTGTTATTTAATAAAACAATGTGTTTACATCTAACAGTACAATCTACATGGACCATGTCTTGCTGCCCCGAACTGCTTGCATTACCTCCCGTTTTTACCGATAAACCGATATATAGGGAACCAATCAACTTGTAGCACTAAAAATATGATCAGCTGATGCTGTGTTACGTAATACGCCACAAAATGAACAACAAATTGGCCGAAAGTTGCTGAATATGCAGAATAAAAAATGTTCCGATGACTTAATTCAGGCCGCAGACGTCTTTATATGACGTATGAATTTATTTCCAAATAAAGCTTTTTCAGTGATTTTAATATTTGTCCTTTGATTTTGCATAATGGACTTTGCATGCTTAAATTTGGAACACTTCAAAGCTTATTTTGAAGACTTGAATACTAAATAACTTAAATTAATCTGCCTTAGAAACTACATTTAGACTCACAGTCAAGATATGCATTCTCCAGCCCAGGACTGTTCACCTGACATAAACTCATAGGAAGCATTAAAAGACAAGAAACATGGCAATGCCATGAAAACCAGGTTTTCAATTATCACCATTGTAGATAAATATGTTGTATTTGATATACAAATACAAGCAACAAGCAATGTAAAACATGAATAATGTAGGAGGAATTGCCACAGAAGAAATTGTTCACTATATATTCTATATAAGGAAAAAAAACAAAGGGCCATAATTAGGTCAAAAATTATCCAATCACAAAACCCTGACAATATACGCCAGGGCACTTGCTTACAAAGCTTCTGTGAAAGTTTGGTCAAAATCCGTTGAGAAATGTAGGAGTTCTTGTTCACTATATATTCTTTATAAGGAAAATAAACAAAGGGCCATAATTAGGTCAATTATTATCCAATGGCAAAACCCCGACAATATGCCCCAGGGCACTTGATGACAAAGCTTCTGTGAAAGTTTGGTCAAAATCCGTAGAGAAATGTAGGAGTTGCGCACAGAAGAAATTGTTAATGCCCGCCCGCTGACATACCTCAATCTAATAACCAGTTTTTTCCTTCGGAAAACCTAGTAAAAAAACTTGGAAGATTATTTTAACAGCCCAGTAGGTTATAATTTCCTGCAAATGCAAAACAATCTATTATGAAATGAAAAACAGCTTAATTTTCTACACCATACTCTATTAATAATATAAAATGAGCAATTGACTTCATCCCTGCCAACCCCAACCCAGTTTTTTTTCTCCTTTAAAAATGATACTTGTACAAAATTGAATAAATTGACTTAAAAATTTCCCACACACCATGCAAATAAAATTGAAAAACAAAATGGTAAAATGTCTGACTGCTTGTCATGCATGTATACAATCATATATAAGTATGAAAATTATGAGGTATTTCAAGGAAAATTCATTTAATACTGGAATATGCAATTAAACTTGAGCAGCGAATAAATGACAATATTGGAACTTTATTAATTTTACCTCAACAAATTTTCAGTCCAAAAGGAGTGAAACTTTAAAACAACACAAACTGACTGATACATTAAATAATTTATGTGTTTACTTATTTTATCTTACTACTAGAACAGACCTTATTGCAGAGCATTATTAATGTCAGATACTATATATAAATGATAATGTGGCTCAAATATGACTATATATATCCCATTATTTTTCCTTAAAAACGTTCAAATATTTTGAAAAAACATATAGATAATTAGTGATTCAATTGAACTTCTGAAAATCAAACATCTGTTGAACTAGCCAAACATTTCAGAATTTCCAAGTTTCTGGAATACAGTAGTGTGGAATATTCTGAACCTATAGAAGAAACATGAAACATCAGTTGGTTTATTAATACATGATGAAAAATATGAGCCGCGCCATGACAAAACCAACATAATGGGTTTGCGACCAGCATGGATCCAGACCAGCCTGCGCTGATCAGGATCCATGCTGTTCACTATCAGTTTCTCTACTTGTAATAGGGTTTGTAAGCGAACAGCATGGATCCTGATCAGACTGCGCGGATGCGCAGGCTGGTCTG